AGACACATTTCTCCATCAGCATGGTTCAGAGGGGCTCAGAGTCCAGCTTGGACCTGATTGCCCCTAAATTCTTTGGGCTGAGAACCCAAATGTGAAGAATCAACAGAAGTGAATTGTTGTGCTAAGCAGGCCAAAGTGTGTCCTTGGGCTGGAGGGAGAAACTGTGTCTGTTTGGAAATCCCTTTAACTGAGGGTGCTGAGGGTTTGTGGCTGGGCTGGCCGGCGTGGAAGAGGGCTGGGAAAAGACCTTGGCAGGATCAGAAACACCAGCAGCGGCAGTTTACTCAACAACACTTGGCTGATAATTCTGCTATCAATAAACGATTACCCCAGCAGGGAGAAGATGTTTTGAACACTCAGGGTGTTTTTGAGCAGTAGAAGAGGCCTGGAGTGAGAACTTTGGAGGTTGGAGAGATCAGCTGCCATCACATGATCCCGTGACGCCGGTAACCACAGCAAAGTTTTATCCAAAGCCAGGGAGACTCTTGGCTCTGCTTCTGGGCTTGAGCTCAGCAGAGATTGTGCCATTGTATTTTCACAAACTTCCTTCGGTGCTGAAGTAACTGATTGGCTTTTCCAGGCAAAACTGAGCCTGCAGTGGGAGAGGTGCCTTGGGCAGCTCAGAGCCATCACGGGGTCTGGTCCCAGCATGCCAGGCAAACCCACAGAGCTCCAGCTCCAGGGGCAGCCAGCCCTGAGCAATCCATCTCCTGTGGCAGACTCTGGCTACACCCAAAGCCTTGGCAGGGCTGGAGTGTAGAAACTGTGCTATAATTTCAAATAAATCAGCTCTTCCCATCTGCCTCCTGCCCTGCTGCTGGGCCACAATCTTCGAATGGCCACAGGGAAAAGGTTTTACTCTTTTATTGAACATGATCAGATAAAACAATCCATGCAGGGGACAGCAGGACAACAACAGGCTCACATGGACTCACAACTGCCTGCCAGGAGCAGGGACCTTCTGTGGAGCACCAGCTTGGCTGCACAGTGTGGGGGGATTTTTCTGTAGCTCAGGTGGGTCTTTTGGTACCCAGAATTTTCCCTTCTCGCTACGCTGAAACCCTCCAGGGCATCCAGCCACCAGGAGCTGGTCTCCAGAGGTACATGCAGGAGAGCTCAGGTGTCCCTGTCCCACCTTCTCGCCGCTCCACCCGGGTCAGACCTCCTGGCAGGGAGGAGGAGCGAGTGAATCACCAGGAAAGGGCAGGAGAAGGAAGTGCAGCTGCAAGGCTGACCCAGCATGGCTCCTCCTGGACCTTGGACAGATGGAGCTGGCCAGGAGTTAATGTTTAACTCCTCCAAAGGCCTGGAGGAGTTAAACCACCAGGGACATCCTGCTTGGCCAGGAGCTGTGCTGGGATGGTCCCGCAGGGCTGAACTTGTGCCTCAAAGGCAGTTAAATCAAAAGGCAAAAAAGTCCAAAGGGCCTCATGATGTCCCGATAAGCACCAGAAAAGAGATGGATAAATGACATTAACGGCATTAATTTGTTCATCTGGGTAGCCCTGCCCCAGGCACAGCAGTTCCCACACCATCAATAAGGAAAAGCCCATGAGTTGTTGGGATATGTTACCAAGGTCTTGGCAAAGCTGCAGGACTTCCTGCCCTCCCTTCTTTCCCCATCTCTCCTTCCTCTTCCCAAGGGCATTTAAATCCAAGCATGACAGTCTTGGCTAAAAAGGAGCACATAGTGCCCCGGGGGCAGGGCAGGACCCAAGACGTTAATCCCAGCTCAGGTTACTCAACAGCAGTTTTGGATTCCTGTTCCTCACTTCACCCTTGTAAAGTGGGAACGGTGCTTCCTGAATTCCCAACGCCGGTGTCGTGTCTGAGGGCTAATTAGGAAGGTCCAAAAACACTGGATGAGTGACTGAGAGATGCTCCCTTGCTGGAGACCAGGAACTCCGATTTTCCTGCTCCTCCAGGGATGCCAAGGGCAGCCAGGAGCTGCCAGGAACGGGCTCAGCAGTTCTGCCTCTGTCCCACAGGGAACACACGTCCTGCAGGGAATCCATCCATCCTGTTCATCTGTGGCCTCTGCAATAACCTGACGTGGTGGGAAGGAATCAGCCGTGTTCAGCAGGTGGATCCAATGTCTCTCCCAGTCCCCAAGGCTGAGGAAGAAAGGATTCTGTAACCCAAGAAGAAGCAGCAGCTCTGACTGTTGAGGAATAAAAGAGTCTCAGTGAGCAGCTCCTGGCTAAAGTTACCTGCAGGCAGAAAGGGGAGAGCTCAGGGAAGAGCTCAGGCTGTGCCATCAGAACCACAGGTGTGCAGCCCTGCCTTAGCAAAGCTGTGCCACAGAAGTTCCATGATGGTGTTTTTCTGTTACCTTGGTTTTATCACAAAGCAAAAAGGGAATGTACAGACTGACAGAGTATGTTTGGAAATGGAAATAAAATTCCAGTTTAATCACTGATTAAACAAACCAGTGGTGCTGTTGGGAGGGGTCACTTGGAGTTTACGGATTGGGTGGGGACCTCAAAACCAAAAAATGCCATGAGGGTGTCCCAGGCTTTTCTGGGGGTTTCTTCACCCTGGCTGCTGGTGTGAGCCTGGGAATCTCAGTGGGAAGCTCAGGAGCCCCAACACCCAGAGTCAGTGCTGGCTCCTCGGGAAATGCCTGAGTGAGACTCAGGTGAAACATCAGAAGATAGAAAACATTTCTTTGGATTCTCCCCTCTGGCTATAAACCTACCAGAGTGGTCCATTCTGCAGCTCCAAGAGTGACTCCAGATATCCCTGGAAAGCAAGAGGCACTACCAACAGATTAATAATTACACCCGGGGCTGTTCCCGGAGGAAAATTGTTCCTATCTCATTGACTCATCAACCTGCAATTCACCACCTCTCACCAAAGCACCAGAAAGCCCATTTTAGATCAGTGCTGAGCTCAGAGCCCTCAGCTGCAACTGGGGAATGAGATCAGAGCTCAGAGCCCTCAGCTGCACCTCAGGAATGAGATCACAGCACTGTCACTGCCAGTTCTCTGCGGCCACAGGCTGGTGGGTCCCTTCCAGCACAGGAGATTCCATCGTTCCATGATTCTGTGACACCTTCCCTGCTCATACACTTGCCCAAACAGCATCTCCTGCTGCCACCTGAGATGGGTCCCTGTGCTGGAGATGTCACGGTCTGACCCAGGTGGATGTTTGTAACACCCTAAATTAAACCCTGGAAACCTCATACACAATTAATTAAGGCAAGGCAGCATCTCCTAAGCGCTGCTCTCTTCCTCCTCACGGCCCATCCCGTGGCTCTGTGAGGTGCCTCACGTTCTGGCATGGCCTCATTTGGGCACTAATCCCACAGCAGATCCCACATGGAGCTCTCACACAAGGGCACAGAGGCTGAGGCTTTACGCTGTCTTTGATGCACAGTCTGATTTTTTATCCGTGTTGTTCTTCCTCCCTGATTTCAATCAGCAGTCTGTGGGCTGCTGTCATGCAAGCAATGAGATCCATTCTTTTATCCTTGATATTTGGATAATCAAACTTCCAGGTGCTACTGCAGTGCATCCTGTATTCCCAACATTTCCAAAGAACTACTCCATCCTATGTAACCTAAAAATTCTCCCTCTGTCTGTATCCATTTCTCATTTTGAAAATCTGTAAATCTATTGGAATAAAAGTTTTCCATAAAACCCTCAGTCAAAGCACATCACTGCAGCATTCCAGATGAGGCTGCACATTGGAAAAGCAGGGATGGTTTGCCAAAAGTGCCTCAGCATTGGTATCTGGTGTCATTTGAGGTGCCCCGTGGTGTTCCTGTCACCAGAAAAAGGGGGGGATGCCAGTCCAGAGGGGACACCTTCCACTATCCCAGGGTGCTCCAAGCCCCATCCAAGGCCAGGTTGGATGGACCTGCCTCCATCCCACCAGGATCCAGCCACAGGAGCTGGAATTTATAGTGTGTGGATTTTCTGGGCTATAATTCAGATTTTTTACTGGAATGACTAAATTTCACATGCCAGTGCTGAGACTGTCATAGAAGTAACATCAACATATTAATTTAATTAGTCACTTCCTGTCTTAATGGCTGCTGCTCTGCAAGCAGCTCCCAAGGAATTTGGGACAGCTCAGAATGTGGGACAACATCAACATCCAAGACTTGCAGCTGGGGAAGGAGCTGGAGCACCAAATACATACAACTTTTTTTTTTTTTTTCCACTCAGGAATTTGGCACTTGACACATTAGGAAGAATAATAAGGAAAGAAATAGGAACACCTAAAGAAACACAACTAATTGTTCAGACAAATCCCTCAAGGAGCTGCAGGGCTGGCCAGGAGCAGCACTGGTGTCCTGCTAAGGAACACAGGGATGTTCCAAATCTCAGGAATGCCGGCTGTCTCATTTGGCTGCTGAAGCCAATTTTCCTTGTTTCCAAACAAATGAAGGCTGCAGGAGACCCAAACACCTGGCACGGGCACAGCTTCCCCCGGCACAGCCCTTCCTGAGCCTTCGGGAGCCACGGCGGGGTCGAACCCCAGCTCCGAGACCCCTCATTCCAATCCCACTTTGCCAGGTTTGGGGAGCACCTGCTGCCAGGGGCGAGTGGGGGACAGAGCCAGGCGAGGGGGACAGAACCAAGCCAGGGGACAGAGCCGAACCAGGGGGACAGAGCCGAACCAGGGGGACAGAGCCAAACCAGAGGACAGAGCTAAACCAGGGGGACAGAACCGAACCAGGGGGACAGAACCGAACCAGGGGGACAGAGGCGAGGGGGACAGAACCAGGCAAGGGGGGCAGAGCTAAACCAGGGGGACAGAGCTAAACCAGGGGGACAGAACCGAACCAGGGGACAGAACCAGGCGAGGGGGACAGAACCAAGACAGGGGGACAGAGCCAGACAAGGGGGACAGAGCCGAACCGGGGGGACAGAGCCAGGCGAGGGGCACAGAGCCATACCAGGGGCGTGCCCCGAGGGCCCTGGGCGTGGTCGGGGGCGTTTTCGCGCGGTCGGGGCTAGGGCCAATGGGGCCGGGGGCGTGGCCGGGGCGAGGCCGGAGCCGCTGCCGTTGCTGCGGCGGGCGCGGAGGTGCAGTCGGCGCTCCGGCCGGGACAGGTGCGTTGGGCCCCGTTGTTTCAGCGGTGACAGGTGCGGCGGGACCTCCCTAGTTCCGCCGGGACAGGTACGTGCGGCGGGGCGGGAACACGACGCACAGGTGCGGTAGGATCTGCCGGCTGGGCCGGGACCCGCCCGTTGGGCCGGGACAGGTGCGGTGGGACCTCTCCCCTCCGGTTCGGCCGGGATAACAGCGCGGGGCGGGGGTTTGGACCCCCGGGACCTCTCCCCCGACCGCGGAGCCGCGCGGGGCTCGGCTGGGCCGCGGGTGAGTCCGGGCGGTGCGGGGCGAACCCGGGCCCCGCTCCGGTCATCCGTGCCCGGCCCGCGGCGGGGGTCAGCGGCAGAGCGGGCCGGGGGCTCGAGGCGCCGCGCCCTCCGCTGCCCGCAGCCTCCGGCTCTCGGCGGGTTCGTGCCCGGGGCTGCAGCGCGGTGCCCGCGGGTGCCCCGTTCCTGTGGCCACCTGTAATGAATAGGCCACTTCCACCTTGGTTAGTCAGTTTTCCTTTCAGGTTCTTTCCTCATAGAGGGATTTATGTTCTGCTGTTAAACTTGTGGGTAAAGTTATTAGAGGTAGGTTTGATGTGCTGTGCTGGATTGTGTCTCAATCACAGTCCTTCCCTAACATCTGGCACACCTCTGGCATCCCTGTCTCCCTCTCCTCTGGGCTCTGTGCCACTCTCCACAGAACCTGCTTCCACTGCAGCAGGTAGAATGTTCATAGTTTTATTTAAATCTTAACATGTGTTTTCTGAAATTTCTGTGAATAAACTGCTCAGAGCAGTAAAGAAAGCCCAGAGATACTTGAACATGCCAAAACTGTAAATGAATGAGAAAGTGCTAAGAATGTGGAATGGCATAAAAATGTGGGAGTACAAGTTTCAAGGCATGTCAGAGTTCTGTTTCATGTCATTTCTAGTGACTGAGATTCTAGATAGGCTGTTTCTCCTTCCAGCTGAATGTCCCAGCAGCAGGTACTCACTTTATAAAGAGATTTTTGCCTAAACAGGCCAGATTAACTCAGTGTACCTGTGGCTTTCGTGGAGAATGGCAGGGAAGCAGAAGAACTCAAAGGGAGAAGATGCAGCCCTGAGCAGGGCTGGTTGGAGATGCAGCGGGATGCTCAGGCATCCAAACCGGAGCTATTTTCCAAACAATTACATTCAGATTTGTTTCTCAGTGTTTTTCTGAACTGTTCCTTCCGTGTGTCAATGAGCACCTGTTCCCTGTGCCAGGGGAGCTCTGATGAATGCCCCGCTCCTGTTTCCTGGGCACAGCTGTGAAAGGCCATTTAAACTGCAGCGGGGCCTCAGGTGAGCTCCCTTTGGCTCAAGATTAGTCATAAAACAAAGTTCAACCTGTGGCATGACACAGCTCATTCAGCATTGGTCTTTAACACGGACAGAATCCTTTCTGTGGGATTTTCCAGCAGTAAATTCTATCTGTAATCTCTCTGTGTGCATTCTGAGGCTCCTGGGAATTGAGACTAGAGGCTACGTTCTGCATCACAGAAATACTGGGTTTATTTGTGTATGCAATATGACTTTTTAAAAGTGAGAAGGTGGAAATGAGATCCTTTGGCTTTGTGGGTGGTGATTTGTGCTGTTGTCAAAGGCCAGTCAAATGCAGAGCATTCTCAGTGCAGCCTGCATGGAGGTTTACAGGGGACTTGGTGATCCAGAAAGTGTTTGAAAAGGCAGGAATTTCAGAAAGTAACCCCAGTTTGGGTTTCTCTTGCTGGTTGGAAGGGGCTCTGTGTGCCTTGCAGAGGCTGAGGCTGCAGGTAGCTGCACCTGGAAAGGCAACATTGATAAGTGGTTTCGGTGTGTTTCAACATCCCCACAAAACCATCATCGCTTGTTTGCAGTGGTAGTTCAACCTGCACGTTTGAAAACGCCACCAAAATCATTGTTTTGATAAAACCTCTTGTGTCATGGCATGCTCTTCTCTCCAGGACATCAGAGGAATTATGGAATGTGAGAGAAAGGCCCATTCTTCCTGACTGTGTCCCAGTGCAGAGGTGTGTTCACCTGCCACTCTTCCAGACAGGGAACAGCACTGGAGAGGCTTTTCTGTTCCCAGGGCTCCCATTCCAGCACTGGGAGCTGCCAGACTCTGCCTGTGCCTCTGAATTCTCCTGGACTGAGGCGTTGCAGAATCCACATCTCTGTCATTTCTGAGCAGGTGCATTCTGTACCTTGAGGAGTTCAGAAACGTTGTCTTTTCTCCCTTTGGTTGGCTGCTTGTGCCACCTTGTGTGAAGGTTTTTGTTCGTGTGTGATCAGCTGTCAGGCAGACCTGGACTCACGCTGGATCCAGAGTTCCGTGACTGTGCAAATCCGTTAAAGGAATTAATGGAAAATACAAGGAAGAGCTCAGCCTGCCTGGAGCTGGCATTGCAGGGTCAGTTCACGCCCTTGCCACAGGCATTGTGTGACATGGGAGCAGGGATAAAATAAAAGAGGAAAAAAGGAAAGGCGTTCCCTACAGGCTTTATTTTTGTCTTATCAGAGAACTCTTTAAATTAATCTCCCCTCCTTTCCTCCTCCACGAAAGAAAACTATGTAAAAAATAAATCTGATATAGTCTTGTTGGCTTCTGTGGTGAAAAGCTGGGCAAAATCTCTTCCCATTTCCAGGAGGCTGGGATGGTTTGAGCTGGTTTTTTTAGGTAATTAATACTATTTAACTGATATTATGGTAACTACTGCGACAGGAGGGGCACAGCTGCCTCCATGAACACGAGACTTGTTTGAGCTCACAGAGGAAACGCTGCTGCGCTGAGAGAGAGCACAAGAGTGAATGAAAAATGTTTGTATAGTAATTACATCCTCTTAGTTTCGTAACTCAAACCCTCTTACATAAATGCCAGCACATTTGGTTTGAAACCAGAACAAGCGAGGGCACTTTGGGGCTTCCTGGAGCTCCTCTGTGTGTGTGACACAGGACTGGCACGCTGGCATCCTCCGGTCACAGCTCTGTGTCCACAGCTCCCCATTGTGCCTATGGCTTTATCAGGCCACCATCTCAATGGCATCTGCAGAGGAAATTATAACTGTTATCTGCTGCCTTTTTAAAGTCAGTTGATAGATGAGATCCTGAGGGGTTAGGATTGGTGGCACTGGGATGCTGGGAGCAAATCACTTGGTGGAACTTCTGTTCTGCTCACAGTTCCTATTGCTGACACTGTTCCTTCCTCCTGAGCAGGGATTTGGGGAGATAAGATGGAGCCTTCCCCGTTCAATAGAAGGCAATGGACCTCCCAGTCTTTGAAAATCACTGCAAAAGAGCTTTCCCTGGTCAACAAGAACAAGTCCTCGGCCCTCGCAGAGAGGTTCTCCAAGTAAGTGCTGTGGGGCTGGGGAGCACAGCTGTGTGTGTAGGTGACAGCTGGCACCTTCAGCAGGGACTGCTGCTCTCACAGTTGCTGTGCCCTGCACAGTCACCCCAACAGTCCCACCCTGTGCCTCAGAGTGTTGTCCAAATGCTCCTGGAGCTCTGGGAGCCTTGGGACAGGGGCCGTTCCCTGGGGAGCCTTTTCAGTGCCTGACCACTCTCTGGGGGAAGAACCTTTTCCTGATATCCAGCTTAAACCTCTCCTCACTTAGGTAGAAAAGGAATATTAAGCTTCCCTTTTCTCTGAGAGATGGATAAAAGGTTAAACTCAAACCATAAATATTGTATACCCTGAGAAAGCTGAGTGGTAATAACCAATGCATTCCCTGGAAAAGCTTTTATTTCCTTAAGGAATTATATAGGCTTCAGCTGGGGTTTTCAATGGGATTTGGGGAACTGAGTCTCTGAGGCTCTTGCTTTAATAGTGTAACAAAGTTTTGGAGTATTTGGATCTTGAGTGGGACAAACTTTATGGAATCTGCAGGAGAGGGATAATTACACAGTTCCTCTGTGGAGCTCTGGCCCAGGGAGAAGCTGTTTGCTGTCAGCACCTTAAGGTAATTTATTCACTCACTGAAGCTTGATTATAGAACCTGGTCATCTTGCTAAATGTTGATAATCCCTTGAAAAAGGCTTACTGGAAGTAATCCAAACTGCTATTCCTTAATCAAGCAGTGTCCCTCTACATAGGCAGGGTCAGTGCCTTGGAAAAACACAGTCCTGCTCTCTGGCTTTGCCACCCTGATGTCCGCAGGGAGGAGTGTGACATTTAAGTGCTGTTAATTAAATATTTGTATGTGAAAACATTTTTCTCTATTCCACATAATCGGTTTTGTCAGGTCAGAGGCACAAAAGGCAACAGCAGAGATTTGAAAAGTGCCCCATGCTGGGCTGACTCTCAGATCGAGGGCTGGGACTCCTCAGTCTGTTTTCCAGGTGCTACTTGACTCTCATCTGTGTTCCTCTTTGTTTCTTCTTCCAGTATCGATCCCTCTTCCCCCAGCATCACTTTCTCAGCACCTTGTGTTCAAATGTGGACCCTTTATAGTGCAGAGATGTGGGTCAGTGTGTTTGCATGGATTAAAGAGGAGCAACAGCCTGTAACACACTACTGCTGTGTCAAAAGCAGAATTCCACAGATAAGGGAAAGAGAAACACCCTTTGTCCAAGCAGACGCTGGGTTCCTTCTCTCTGAAAGGCAGAACTCCTTTAAAATGGCAAAATTTGTCACTAATTTTCATGTTTCAAAGGCCAAGTGCAATCACCTTGTGCAGCGAGGCAACCAGTGAGGACTGTGGAGGGACTCGCAGCCAGAGGAGTGCAGATTGCTGGGAGTTCCCTACAGCTCCTTAAAGGACTTTGATTCATGATCCAGGGTGGCTTATCTCCAGAGGGCTGTGATGGCTCAGCTGCCCAGGAGGCAAATGCTCAATGGGGGCAGTTCCCAGCCCACAGAGTGAAATCCTCTGGCACTTAGGGAGATTTTCGGCATGTGCCAAGCTGGAATTTGTTCTGGTTCAGCAGCTGCTATATAAAGAGCTGAATTATTCCTGCAAGGGGGCACAGCAGACAGCTGGGTGGCGGAAACAATACAGCTATTCCAAGGTAAACTGTCTCTATTTGGGAATCAGAGTGCTTAGGGAATGAAAAGTATTAATGGGTGTTATTATTGTAAACTGGATGACTGAAAATGTGTCTGTCACTTGGCTTTGTGTTATTTGCTGCTGTTTGTCCAGCCTCTAGTTTTAGTTGATCCAGGGGGTGGGGGAAGAAAAATCTCAGCTGTCCTCAAGAGCATTCAGTATTCTGGTTAAAACTTGGGTTTTGTTTGTTTTTCACTCTCTCAAAGGTATCAGAAAGCTGCTGAAGAAGCCACTGCTGAGAAGAAGAGAAGTGTAAGTGTTTTGTATAAGTGTTTGTTTCCTTGGGAATGAGCACAGCCTGCAATCAGGATGGATCACCTGCACAAGTATTGCTATGACAGCTGATTATTGGAATATCAAAATTGCTGCTGTGTGTCCTACAGAAAACCTGGCTTAGACATAGGCTTTGCTTTTGCTTCATGCCCCATGCTTTTTCCCCAGTGTGGAGGAAAGGAAAGGAAATGAAGTTTCTTGCCCAAAGCTGTGTTGAATCACCAATTCTCTCCTAAGCAAAAGGCAAAATGAGTTAACCACAAGCCAGGAATACCTACCTCCTGTTCTTAGCTGGAGGCACTTGTGTGGTGCCTCTTCCTTTCTTAACTAAATTTAAAAGTGCTTAAAAGGAGCCTCCAAGCCTCTCTGAAATCCAACATGTGTCTTTGAGAGCTGTAGGATCTTCTCTGAAGTGACTTCCAGGGCTGCAAATGCCCCTGGATGAGGCAGCACCAAGCTTTTTGGCTCTGTTACAGCCCCACATTCCCTCCTGTAACCTCCATTGCACTCAGGTGTTCAGAGGTCAGGGAACCTTGGCTGACAGACGTTGCAGGGCTTTGTCCTGGCCCTGGGGTACTTTGTGTTTTAAAGCACTGCCAGTATTTTCAGGATCTATAGGAATGTTGCTGCCTTCATTTCTCTGATGCTTGGGGAGCTGCTGTTTGGGATGTAGGTGGGATAAAATAAGCATTCTAAAAATTACTTTTCAGTCTCAAATGTTCTTCAATGCTTGTGTCTGTCAATCTTCCTGTGATCAGGGAACAGGCAAGTCTCAAGCAGGAGGGACTTGTGTTAGGAAGTGTGCTGGGATTCTGGAGGTGTTCCCACAGAAACCTGTCACACAATTCTCAATATTTCTGTTCCATTACAACACTTCCCTTACAATTTTAATGCTTTCTTTTCAATACAGTCAGCAAACACACTGATTTTTTTATTTTTGTGAAGTGTAAGTGGATTCAAGTCAATTTGCAAAGCAGCGTTCAAAATGTGACCAGAAGAGTAATAGGGTGAGAGACTTAAATCCCAATATAGCCACTAATGCCAGTTAATTCCTGTAAGCCTGGCAGCCCTGCTCCACTTGCAATGAGTTTGGAGTGGTCTCCGTAAGGGAGAGACAGGAAACATGCAGTGGTGGCAGGTATTGGGTTGGAATGGCTCAAACACGGGCTGGGCTGTTGCTCTGGGGAGAGGGAAGTGCTCAGAGCAGGAGTGGGCTGGGGAGCAGCTGGATGGGAGGTGATGCTGCTCCAGGTGTTCCTTGGGGCTGAGGCAGTGCCAGTCACTCGTGTGTGTGTCCCCAGTGCTGCTTTCAGTGGGTTGAGCGAAATAGAACAAAAATCCCAGCAAGTTACTGGTTATTTTTTTAACTGGAGCAGATGGATGTTTGTTGTGAGTGCTTGGCTTGAGCTTTGGCTCTGTGGTGTAAAATCCTGGGCAGGTCTCTGGGAACTGAAGTGTTGCTGTTATCTGAGAGCAGAAACAGGTAACTCCAAGGATTTAGTGGTTTCTGAGAGCTGATTTGTAGCTTTTGGAAGGCCTTGGCAGCGTTGTCTTCTGAAGACTCTGCAGCACTTGGCACACCAGCCACCTCCTCTGACCGCTTGTGTCCCCGTTTCCTTGTTCTGGGACTGGAGACCCTCCTTGTGTGGATTTGAGTCCCATTTCCTTCATGTGTGGATTCGGGTCTTTTGTGTGCCATTTAACTCCTGGGGTTTGACTGCCTTTTGCCTTATAAGGCCATTCCTGTTTGCTCACTTCCTGCCTCACTCCTGACTTTTCTCTTCTCCCCCCTCCTTCCTTCCCTATCCTGGATGCTTTCTGCATGTGGCACAGCTGTAACTATTCACAGCTGGCCGGGAGCGGGGATCGCTGCTGAGCTTCCTCCTGCATGGAAAGGAAGTGCTTAGGAGAGCTGCAATTAACTCCTTGTTCTTTGCAGAACACAGAAAACCTGCCCGCTCACTTTACCAGGGGGAATCTGAGCGTGCTGAAGAAGAAGTGGGAGAATCCGGCGCTGGGAGCGGAGCCTGGGAAGGAAGCGGTGCGGAGCAGCTGCGCTGAGGTGAGGCACAAGGTCGGGACCGGCCGCTCCCCTTCGCCATCCCCGGGGGCTGGAGCTGCCCCTGGCCGGCCGCAGTGTCCCGCCGGTGACAGCACCGAGCCCCACAGCCGCTCCCGGGAGGGTGGCGGCACGGAAAACTGTGTGAGAGAGCCCCGTGAGATGGAAAAGCCCGAAGGCGGCGAGAGGTCGGAGTCTCCGGGGAGGATCGAGAAGTACAACGTGCCCCTGACCAAGCTGAAGATGATGTTCGAGAAGGGTGAAGCCCCTCAGCCCAAGGTAAGGATCTGTCCCTCCCAATCTCGGAGAAACTAAAGCCGCTGCCTCCGCGGCATCAGGAAAATCCCGGGAGGGAGTGGCTCCAGCTATTGACTCTGCAAATATTGTGTTCATTGTTTTAGTGAAAACAGAACGTCGTGGTGTTAGTAACTTACTCGAGCCACGCAAGTATGTGCGTGGTGCTCGGACGGCTGGTGATTGCTCATTGGAGTAAAGAGAATTTGCTTTTGATAGGGTTCAGTGGAAGAGGGGAAAACATGGAATTTATTAAGTTTGGTAAAGTAAGTAGGGATTGTTTGTGTCTCGTGTGAAGATTACAATGAGGCATGTAAATGTGACTTGTAAAAAATGCATATGTAGGTATTTATGTATTTTTTAATATATGAAAAGTAAGGGAGTTTGAGCTCAGCAATCAGGACTGTTGGCAGTCGAGGTGAAACCCTAAGAAGTGAGAATTTTTGATCTCTGTATCGGTATGGGTCGCACAAACTCACACACACACATAGTGAAATACTCCCATCCTTCCCTCGCTCTTCCCTCATCTTTGTGCCTTACAAAATATTTCTTATCGAAAAAAAAAAAAAAATCTCGCTGAGGGAAAGCGAAGCCGAGGTGGCCAGAGCAGCTCCTGCCCTCACTAGTTTTGACTTGCAAATGCTCAGGGCTCGCATTTTTCTTCCAACTGCTCATGAAATCTGATCCCGCATGTGGACTGCAGCCGGCGTGTCCCGAGGGGAATTGCTTAACTCCAAAATGAGTTGCATATGCTGGGGACTTGCAACACAGTCCCGAGGCCTCGATGCTGCTGGATTTTCCAGTTTTCTCATAGTTTCCTCTCCTCCTGGCTTTGTTTTACTGAGAGTGGTTTTCTTGAAGTATTGACTAAAAAAAAAACCCCGCATTTTGGATAAAAGTTTTTTTCAATATGTAACAATTTAGGGCTCAGAGGAGCAACTCGGTGTTGAAGGGAATTTTGGGTCTGTGTGAAGTCATTTCACAACTTGAATTTTTGTAGTCTTTGTCATGGTTTGAGAGCTGCCCATGACAGACCTTCCCTGAACTCTTGCTCTAGGATTAATCACTCAGAATTCCCCAGGAATTCTGCAGATGGGCTTCGAGTAACTTTATCTCAGCCTGGGGAATAAATTGTTTTGGAGCTGAGTGAATCTGAAACTGATAGTTTGTCAAGTTTAGCAATTCAAACACTGTTGAAAACCAACTAGACCCAGTAAACACCATCCAGCAGGCACAAAACTGGTCAGGTTCGGTTCAAAATCTCTATTCCAAGTTAATCTGTTACAGCAGAAGGGAAAAGGAGTGTTCTGAAGTTCAGATGTGGGGGAGAGGGGGCGTGTTTGGAATTCCGTTCCTCGTTCTGGGAATTGATCTGTGATGGGAGGGTTGGGTGGGTGCAGAGCAGGGAGCTGGGTGCTGTGGGGACCCAGGTGTGGCTCAGTGAGGTGGGAGCCACGACAGCACTGCAGCTCTGCAGTTGCCTCTCCCGTTTATTTCCTGTGCTTTTTCCTGAGCGAGGCTTCATGGAATCGTTCTGGTGGAAAATTCCTTTCTGTCATTGAGTCCAACTGTAAATTCAGCTGAGAGATGGCAGTTTTCCTTGGATTTTTTTGAAGTCTTGATGTGTTGGTGCTGTCAGAGCTTTGCTGGCAAAACCTGTGTGTGAACTAAGCAGCAGCACGGCTGGAGGCTCGTGGCAGTGCTGATAAATCAACTTCCCTGGCTGCTGGGCAGGTCTGGGGCAGGGATCCAGGGCAGGTCTGGGGCACGGATCCAGGTCAGAGCCTGGATTTCCTGATTCCATCTCCCACTCTAAACAAACCTACTCTCATTTTCAGGATTATAAGTAAAATCTCATCATTTATTAATTTATTCACTCAGATCTTGCTCTGTCTTTGCAATAGATAGGAGGCAGATCTTTCATTGCATTTTCATGGAAACAAACTGCTCTAATCCCATTAGGGGCAGGCAGAGCAGCCTGGATTGGTTCAGCGCTAAGCAAAGACTGGAACTGATAAAAGACCTGATGTTCAAAGGATTCCTCCTGTAAGCGATAGTGAAAGCACAGCCAGGGGGGAGGAGGATCAGATCTGCAACATTTCTGAAACAGTTGTCTCCGGGCTGGTTTGTGTTTTTCCTTCAAGGCAAAACCTGGCTGTGGTGTGGAGGTGACCTCGTGGCAGGGTCACGTCTCACACAGTTTGCAATGAAATAGGTGTAACTTTGATTGGGGTTTTTACCCAATTCTGTGCCCTAGGCAAAGCTTTACCTGTGCTCACGGTGCTTCTGCACTCGCCCAAGTCTGAGACCTTGGGGCTTTCCACACACGAGGAATATTTTGTATCCCTTCCAAAGCAACAGAAGCTGAGCTCTGGGAATTGTGGCCCAGGCACAGAGTGACAAATCACTGTTGGGGCTTCACCTTCCATGAGCCAGGATCCTGCTGATTCCCTGCAGTTTGTCAGTCCATCAGTTGTAATGTGGAAAGTCCCTCATCTTCTCTGTTAAACATTTATTTTCCTTTCACTCTTTTTTTTTTCCACCCCAAGATAAAACTGTTGACTTAAAACCTACACATATTTGTAGAATATCTGTAGATTTACTGAATATTTGTAGGCTTACTGAACTATGCCTGACCTCTGAAGCTTTTGCATTCTGGTTGTTGGGATTTTTACTGCGTTCTGCAGCTCACCCGCAGGTGTGAAGCTGCAAGCTCTTCAGGTGAAGTTGTAACACCTGCAGATGTGAGGTGGCAAAGGGCAGCAGGAGGAGCTGGCAGGGCTCTGCAGTGCTGTCATTGGAACACTTTATCTGCTTCTGCTGATTGAACTTTTCCTGATGGCCCCTTGGACCCCAATTTCTGAGCTGCAAGAACCCCGTGGGCTCGGGGTGATGTTGAAGGGGACGTTGACTGAATAATCATCTAAGAACAGTTTTCATGGAATGAGGGACCTGCAAGTCTTTACAATTGTGCAGGCACTCCCAGACCTGAGCCTATTGGTCAGTGCAAGACTTATCAGAGCTAAAGCTCTTTTCCAGTAAGAAAAGTTACCAAAGTCTTAAACCACAGAAATAGAAACTATTTCCCGTGCTAATGGAAAATGATGTTTTCCAGCTGCATTTTCCTTTCCTGGTGAAGTTGCTGTTTGTATGGAAAGCAGCCTGATTTTTTCGCAGTGATTATCTTGCACTGCAGTTCTGCAAAAATAAAACTTTGGAATTTCCTTCAGTTTGGTGACCAGCAAATAAGAAAGTCTTTGGAACTGAGGGGGAATGTGTGGCTGGAGCATCTTGCCAAACCTGCCTTTTTCTCTACATTAGCCTCAATCTGAATTTCCAACTGTGATTTAACTCTTCCTAGAGAGAGAACAAAGGTCCAGCACCTCCTAGGATTTTATAGGCTGACTTTCAGCTGTGAATACATCCTGCCTTGATGGAGTCCAGTTTAACTATGCTCAACAACTTTTATCTAAGCTGTGGAAATTTCTTTTTGTGCTTTCTTTTGTTGAGATTTAGATTCTGGGGAGTTGGTCTCAACAAATAAGAATAAAATCTGATTGAGGCAGCCAGAGCATCTGTGTGGTACTACCAGGACACCCTGTCCAGCTCTGCAGCAGAGAGTGATTATCCTGGAGATCTGAGAATATTTATCTCTTACACTCCTGCTTAAGCTTCAGCCTTATCAGATCTAATTAAGGAATTATTTGGTACTGAATGCATGAACTAGCCAAATCAAAACAAATAACTCTAGATAACTTTTATTACAATACTATTAATTCCTTTTTCTGTGGCTGAAAATGAATGCAGATTTTGGATAAGTGGCTCCTTGCATCCTTTTTCTGATTTGAAATCTTCATACAATGACCGTGACTGTTGGCTTCAACAGAAATTGCATGAAATGCAAACATCTAGACTGAAGTACAGTGGGAACAACCTAAAAATCTGATCTTTGTGGTCCTTTTAAACCAAGAGGACTTCCAAAGGGCACTAACTGACCTCTTCAAGAAAGCGTTTCCCAGGTGACAGAGGGTCAGGCACTCTGTGATCAAACTTTATATTGGTTAAATAAGATGTTACCTGCTAGACTTGTTTATTCCAGTAAAGCAGATCTGCTAGTGACACCTGTGCCTGTTAAGGGATTACCCAGAGCAATCCCTGTGTGTCCAGGCAGCTGATGGGAGGCTCTGTCCCCAGCAGGGCCCCCGGGAGCCGCGGAGGGCGGCCGTGGGCAGGAGGATTTCGGAGAACAGCCTCTCCTTGGAGGACTGCGACGCTGCCCAGGGAGAGAGGAGCCACAGCACAGCAGGTCAGGAAACCTCAATGCTGGGGGTCGTTTGGGGGGGGGTCGGTTTGGGTTTTGTTTAGCAGATAAATCTACTTTATACAAGAGAAATTTCCCTGGAGGTGTCCAAGGAACAGCTGGATGGGGTGCTCAGTGCTCTGGTCTGGGTGACAGGGTGGGGATCACTCAGAGGTTGGACTCGCTGGTTTTGGAGGCATTTTCTAATCTCAAGGATTCTATTAAATAACTTTTGCCTTTCCAAAGTGGAAGGAAGTCCATCAGCATCCCATTTAATTAGTGAAGCCTTGCTGGGAGTTTTAAACCATTTCACTCTTAAGCACAGGAAACCAAGGCACAGGGAATAGCCAACAAGTTAAGGAATACAGCCCGTTCTTTCCTGTGCCTCAATCCTAGAACTAGTTTTAATAGTCAAGGCAATTTAGGAAGCAGTGAACAGACACTCAATGTTAATTCTGCCTCCTTGCTTCAATCCTCATCCCTCCTATCATGGCCAGACACAGGGAGCTACTGTGAGCTTTGATTTAAACAAAACTATGTATTTTTATCTGTTTGGAGACCTTTTTTCTAGCAAACAATTTGCAATCTTTTGGTGTTTCCACCAAAGGCTGGCACAGCTACAGCTGTTCCTTTGGGTCTAAATCCTTAGTGATACACACTGTGTCCTCACTGGCATGATCCTGGAGAGAAGGGCAATGTGTTTATTCTCCCCAAAAAGTATCTTAGTGAGTGTTTGTTATTCATGTTTGTTTTTTTTTTACCAGGGTATCTTGTAGAGACCAGTCCAGGACTCAGCCCAGACAAGGCAGAGACCAGGAAGAACCTGGACATGCCCCGTTTATCAGAGACATCAATAAAGGACAGGCTGGCCAAGTACCAGGCAGCTGTGTCCAAGCAGGGCAGTTCCTCAGGCATCATCCCCATGGTAAGTCTTGCTTTGTGTGGAAGTGAATTTTTGTCCCAGCCTGAGACTGGAAAGGAGATCTTATGGAAACCAGGCTGCTTGAGGCTAATGCCATTCTTTTTGGAAAATAACTCTGTGCCCATAGGAGTAATTTCTGATGAAGAATTGCCTTTACATACTGTAGGAAGAAATAAGTGTATTTGCATCTTCCTGTAATAATGTTGAAAATTTTCCAAGTAATTAATTGCTGGCACCCTGACTGAGGTCCTTCTGAAGCATACTTGACATTCTTTTTCTTTCTGACTGTCTGTAGCTCTTATGTTTGTTGTTTTTGTTTAAAAAAGAAAACTCAATTCCATGTTGTCCAGCAGCTCTAAGCTGTGGGAAACTGAGGCACAGTGAGATGAAGTGACTTTGTGTCGCACAGTGCACAGAACCTGGATCTCTTGCCCTGCAGCTTTGGGATCTCCAGTCAGTGTTCCTCACTTTTTACCTCCCTTCAGGATTTCTCACCACTCTCTGAATCCAATTAGACTCTTGCAGTGAATGAACCTCTGCCTGTTTTGCAAATATTTGACCAGGAGTTGAACAATTAATGTAGTGTTACAGCTGAGGAGGTTTCAGGAATCTCAGCTTTTGTTAAAAACTGCTAAGGTATATTTGCTGGAAGTTTACAATACTTTTGCTGAAGGATGGGAACTTACATTGCTCAAGTATTGCTTTTATTAACCAGAGTAATAGATTTGAAGAGGAAAGGCCTTTTTAAGTTGGGAAGCTTGCCCTGGAAATGAGAGCCTGAAGTGCTGGTTCTCCCTCAGAGGAGAGCCTGCTTTCCAGGAGTCTTTGTGGAGAGCCAAGGGCTTCTTCTGAGCTCAAATGATTCCTGAATTTCATCTGCACATGGGTCAGATTCGCCAGCTGTGGGAGAAGGGTCAGTAAAACCTTCCCTGCATGAATGGAAAGTCCTTGCAGCCACTGCAACAAATCTGATTAACCTAATTGCCCATTTCTGCCTCCTGTACCTTGCCTGGTCTCATTTCCTGATGCCTTTTCCAGTTTGGGGCTCAGAGTGGTGGCTGAGTAACTAAATTCTGTCCTGATGGCAAGAGATCTGCCATTTCTGCAGAGGCTCCTGTTTGCAGCCCCCCGGTGCTCTTGGTTTTGTGTCAGTCCAGCCTGATGCTCTCAGGATGCCCCATTTGGGCACAATCTCTTCCCAGTTTGGCCTGGCATGAGGATGAGGGCAGTGAGATGGAGCAGACAGGGGTTCCTGAGGCCAGTGTTTGCAGTGCCACTGCTCCAACAGCAGCCCTAACCTTGGGATCTTTTTCCCTGCTGGCAAAGCAGACAGGGCTTTTTTTTGCTGTGGAAATGTGGTGTTTGTGCTGCCCTTCTCACACCTGGGCTACAAAGGAAAGCCAGAATCTCTCGGGAAAACTATTTTAGGGCATTGTGGTGTAATAAGGCCTGGATTAAAGCTGATGGACTCTTGGCTCGAGTAAGGATAAGGGACAATCAGTTCTGTGTGTTGGAAGGGGAGGGAAAGGTGCTGGACAGCAGATGCAGAGATCTAAGCATTCAAATTCCAACATTTGGTATGAACCTCTTGGATGTGGTTGGTTTTGTGGAGTTTTGTTTCCCAGTGCAGGAAGATGCTGGTGCTGGCATGTGGCTCTTCCTCTTTCATGTCACAGAGATGATGCCTTGTGAAAAGCACGAGGCTTCCAATGATCTTGTGTCCTGGGGCAATGGAAGAAACACGAGGTTTCACTGGATTTTATTGGTTTTAAGGTCTGACAGATCCTTCTGTGAAAGTCTTCAGTCAGTCTATCAAGAACAAAAATCTCTGGAAATCAGAGTCAGGGTTTTGACTAGAATTGAAGCAAATGTGGGATTTGCTTTTGTGTCATATTGTATTTAGCAATTACACTGTACTTTAGGCAGTGCCTGTATGGAAATACTTGTCATTCCAAGTGAAAAGTTAACATTTCTCAAAAAGGAAGATGTGGATTGAGCAGGGAATACTTAAGAGTTGATTTTAAACAGGAATTTGGAAGAAAAGGGTTGCTCAGGAAAACACTGGCATTGCCTCCTTAGAGCACAGTAAAATCCTACAGCCCAATCCTGTTCCCTCATTAGAATGTGTCACTTAACAAGTGTCTGTACATTCTTATGGCCCTTCCTTCAATTATCACTCCACATACTAGGAAAACAGTTTTTAAAACATTTCAAGAAAAATAGAAAGCAAATATTTTCTTAGGGGAAAAGAACCTGTCACCTTTCCAGTGCTTTGTCCTATAGAGTGAGATTCAAGCCAGCGAGAGTGAACTCAAGGATTACAAATCTGGGCAGAAGGAGAATATGGCACCAGTTGAGGACTCCAGTTCCTGTCAGGATGGGGAGAAGGTAAGATGTCTGTGCTGGTGGAGATCAAGGGCTTCATTTTAAGTGGAACTGGCTGTGGAAGCACAGCTGATACACTGGCTCCATGTTCCACATGCCATCTGGGACTTGAACGTGAGCAGCTGATGCAGATTAGTTACGTGCTGCAAAATTCCTGTTTAAGTTGTTTTTTTTAGATTGTCTCAGAGTTAGAAGTGTCTGTGGAGGAGAATGTCTAGAGAAATTTTCTGGGAGAGTTTTTCTGTCTTGGTAGGTTGTTTTATGGTGGGTTTTTTATAAACAGAAAAATCCACACCAATTAAAAAAACCCATGAGCAGTTTTGTACGACCCAAGTCAAAGGAGTTTGTCACTGTTTCTTCTGCATTTAGTGGTTAAATTTTAGGGTAACTGAGAATGGCAGTTTGGGTTTGTTCCTGGTTTTGAGCTCCAGCTATAAATTGAGACTCTGTAAACTGGACTCGAGCATTTGTTCCCTGAACTGGGGACAGCAGACGGGATAAAAGTAGCTGAATAATAATTGGGGTACTGTGTATTCCACCCAGGCTGAACACGTGGCAGCTTAATGCCAGGAGGGCTTTTAGAGCTTTTCAGCCTTCCTTGGGCAAGGGGCCAAATCTTTGCTTTCAGCTGTTCCTCAGAGACAGCTGAGCAGCTTCGTGTCTGACTGGTCCAGGCTGCTTCCTGCTCCAAGGTGAGTTAATTAAAAGAGCACCTGTTAAATCAGAATATCTCCCTGTTGTGAATGGAAGATTTGAATGAAATGTCTTGTATTCAGCTGTAATTGCAGAGTTACTTGTTGAGGTGTCCAGGTGCAATGAGAACCTGAATGGAGCATTGTTTGGGAGCCAGGATTGTCCTTTGGAAGGGAACTTGGAAATGAGCCTAATTAAAGCTGCTTGTCGTTAGTGTCAGAAATGGGAATCCTCTGGCAAAAAGGAAACAAAAGACACTTCACTGTGTCATTTTTCACACTGCACCCGTGGCACATTCAGTAGCCAGACGTGTGTGACTTCAGCAGCCTCAGAACACGTTCATGCTCTGCCCAGGACACTGGGGTACAGTTCTGCTTTCAGCAGACCAGAGGATGTTAATACATGTAACTTGCCTCCTCATTGCCTCCTTAATTTACAAATTTCAGTTGCTTGCAATGGACTTTTCAATCATTAAGGTGAATTAGTGATGATCTGCAGTTAATCTTGTTACAGTACTTTAGTTCCTCATTGTAGCTACTTAAAACTATTTGATTTAATAGCAATAGTGCCAGGTTTAATAAAGAGTTATACATCAAGAGCTTTATCTGCAGCAGGTTCTGTTCATGGTTGCATTTGATGATCTTAAAGGTCTTTTCCAAACTAAACAATGCTATGATTCTGCTTAGTATTTGAAAAAGCTTTTTGTTTTTTTTTTTTTTTAATTTCGGGGGTTTTTTTTTTTTTGTTTTTTTTTTTTCCCTCAAGAGCACAGTCTCTGCTGAATGTCAGAGATTGGTCAAATGTTGGACTGAGCCATGAGATTTCCAGTAAATGTGCTGCTTGGGGTCAAGGGATTTGTAAGTGAGAAAACCTGGGAGGAACCTCAGCAAATCAGCCAAGATTTCTGAGGGTTAATAAAGGTGTACAAGGAAACAGAAATCTGATGTTTGTATGTGTGAAGCCTGTGAGGGTGTCTGCCTTGTAGCAAGGACTCTCTTGACACTCAGCTGGACCTTTTGTGCCTGAAAAACAACTCCTTTCCTGAGCCACTCAGGTCTCTCCGTGCTCAAACTGCCTGGTGCCTTCCTGGGGCCATGACTGTTCAGATCTCAGAAGGTCAGAGGTTCTCATTTCTCATTTTCTCTTGCAGGTTTCTGTAGGTGAGAACAGCTTGTCTCTGCACTCTGGTCTGCTGGAGGATGGCCATGGTGAGCCCTATCAAATGATTAATTAATAAAAACTGTCTTGTACTAAAAATCTCTAAATTGTACCAAATGTCCTGTGACTAACACAGACTTTACAAGAATTTCTTTCATGTTTAGAAGTTCATTTGCAGCTGTAATTTTAAGACACTTATAACTCCTTTTGCACTGATTGAACACTTTTAAGTGTAGCTCCCTCACCATTTAACTGAGACTCTGATGGGTCTGGTGAGCATAAGCTGCCCACAGTTTAAAGCCATGGTAATTGCCTTTTGTCCCTCCTCTGCTCCCTCAGCTGGACAGTCAGAGAGCGAGGCAGAAGCTCAGAAACCTGTCAGCCCAAAGCAGCAGAACCTTGGTGCTAAAGCAGCCGGGCAGTCGGAGGCCTCCCCGCCGAAAGCCGTGAAGGTAACGCAGCTCTTCAGTCTCACAGCCTGGGGAAGGTTCAAACCAACTGCTGGCCCTGTTTAATACTGAAAAGCCTAAATGTGCTTAAGCATAAAGGTCTGGCAGTAACTGGATCAGTACCTGCTCCGTATCACAGTGTGGTTGTGAGGGCACTTTAATTCAGGGTGGAAAAGCACCTCAAAGCAGTCAGGGTTTTTCCAGAGACTGGGTGGGAGTTGCTTTGTCTCTGTTGCACCCCTGTGACAGAGGCTGCTTCTCTTTGGTGTGGCAGAGGGGCTCAAGCAGGGGATGGTCTCTGGGCTTGTCTGTGCTCCTGGAGATGGGCTCTGAGGTCCTGGTACTGATCTTCAGAGCCTTTAGCAAGCTGGGCCTTGGCTTTGCGGCTCTTCCAGCTGTTCCCAAGGTAACTGCAACTGGTAGTAACTTTATAGTGAGGACACTGTGGTGCCTGACTCTATAAAAATCAGGTTTGGCTTTCTGAATAATGAGTCTTTGATGTTACAGTTTCCTTAGGGAGTGATAAAGCAGATGGAGAACTTTGGTTCAGGGATGTATTTGCTAATCTGATTAGATAACAAATGGCAGCACTGGACATTTTGGTCAGGCTGTACTTGCACATCACATGTGTTGTCTGAGGTTGGGATGCTGATTCCCTAGGCTGCCACACACTTCCTGGCTCACTCCTGAGGAAACAACTGGGCTTTTGTTGTTTTCCCCATCTTTGGGAGGAACTGCCCTGGGCTCAGAGACTGGGGAGATCTGGCTTCCCAGTGTGCAAGGGAGAAATGCCAGTATGGGAAATTTGAGCTGCCAGTGAGAGCTGTGTGATCCTAGTGTGTGACACAAAAGCTGCATGTCCTGGTGCTCTCTGCTCTCTCTTGATATTATCAAAACCATTTTAGCCTTTTGCCCAGTTACTGCTTTAGATGCTGCACTGTGTGAGATAGAAGCTTCTGTTTATTCATGCAAGGTTCCTATTTGTCTCTTCCAGCTTCTGTCTCCTGTTCTTGGTTCCTAACCTCTCCTCCTGCCTTCTGCTTCCTTCCTAATGTGAGCTCAACTCTCAGCTTTCTCTCAAGTCCTTTTTATAATTATTGGGCCTCATCTTCCTCCTGTAGCTCCTATTTGTAGTATCCTGGAAAGGAATTTCTGTCTCTTCACAGCCCAAAACGCCTCTCCACAGACATAGGGCTCATTGTGTGCAAGTAAGTCCCTCTCCTTGGATGGGGACGTGATTGCAGAAGCACGTGCCAGCACTGTTGTGTCACCGTGCAAAAGCAATGCCCTCGTGCAAAACTGAGATTTCAGGGAGAAAATGTTTTGATGGGCAAGCAAATTGTTGCTGCCTTGCTCCATGTGGCAAGCATGGGTGATTAGATTTTTGTTTGCATTAGTAAATCTCATTTTTTTGAGATTTCATTTAGTGACTCAAGATGCAGAGTTTTGGTAGAACCTAGAAACTGTGGATCCTTTTTCAAAAGGAATTCTAAATTTTGTTAGCGAAGCTGTAATCATCGGAACTTTAATCTACTGTAACTTCAAGCAATGCCTGGAAACCCTGAAATACATATTAAAATGGAATTAAATTGGCAGCAAACTTTATGGTTGTGACAAAGCGACTTGAGCTGGCTCCATCTTCAGCAATCTGCCCTTACATGCTGGAACTTTCATTCCTAACCATTGTTTCTAGACTGTTATAAATAAATTTCTGTGATTGTGTCTTCCTGTGACCTTCCTGCTTTTTCTTTAGCCATCAGATTTTTCCGTAAAGCTTTTTGTAAGTTTGTAGCAGGTAATTCTTTGCCAAGGAAAAGCTACACTTATGTCTGTGCAGACCCTGGAGTGGAGGCTGGGCTGCTAAATCACTTGTAATCAACATGCAGCCTCAAAATGCCAATGTTGTGTTATTTAATTTATCCTGTAAAGTGTCCTCCCCATTGGCCAGTGTTAATAGATTTCAAGAAGTAAATGGCATCCACTGACCTTTTCTCATGGACAGTGTTCCTGCTTCCTTGATGCTGTCTGAAAACAAACCTGTGATCATTGCTGCACAGCAGTGACACTCCTCAGTGCTCAAGTTTATCCTTGCACTAAACCCTCAGGAAATTCAGTAAGCACATAAGAATTTTAGCTGTTTAACCTCAAAGCTCTGCTCACTTTGAATCTTGAGCGAGTTTGGGGGGCTGTGAGTCCTGAAACATGAGTGGGGTTTCTTTGGGATAGAGCTGGAATTGTTTACAAGTGAAGCCAGGAGTGTTTCCTGCTGTTGTATTGGTACTGAGACTATTTCCTCCTCTTTGAGAGAAAAGATTTAACAAAAGTGGAACATTTCAAACCATTGGGCAGCCTGTTTCCCTCCTTTCCTCTCCCACCCTGTACCTTTTGAGGTTATTTCAACTCTTCTGGTGGACAATGTCCCTGACCGTGGCAGGGGATTGGAACTAGATCATCTTCAAGGTCCTTTCCAACCCAAACCATTTCAAGATTCTCTTTCTCTGCACAATTTTTATTATTTTGGTAAGTCTCACGCTGATTGTAATCAACTGGAATGCTTCATCATTCTCCTATCAATAAAAACAGGTTGCAGGAAAGGATGAGACAGCTTTGGGGAACAGGCTCAGTTTTAGTGCTCTCATTGTTCCTTCCCAACCATTGCTCAGCATGTGATGCTTCAGCTGTGGGATACACTGGGGTGAAATTTTGGTTTCCTGTCAAGCCACAGCAATCCCATGGGCCTGTTGTAGCTTCTTACTGCCCACCAGACCCCGCTGCACCATAATTAGAGAAAGTGAACTCTGCAGTTCTTGAAAGTTCAGGAAGCCGTGCATGAACCCACGCCAAGTCCCCAGCAGTTGATGTGTTTTCCAGTTAACAAACTTTCTCTTCCTCCTGTAGAAATTCCAGTTGCCAATGAAGGAAACCTGTGTTGGGTGTCAGAAGACCGTGTACCCCATGGAAAGGCTCTTTGCCAACCAGCAGGTGTTTCACATCAGCTGCTTCCGCTGTTCCTATTGCAACAGCAAACTCAGGTACGTGCACTGCTCCCTTGGCTGCCCTCTGGGAAGTGAATTTCCCTGTCACAGCTGAGGAAGGTGCTGCTGAGGCCTAGCTGAGCTGGAAGTCACCATAATCCAGTGATTTATATAGGAGAGGTAACAAGGCCTGCTTCTGCCAGTGCCTGGTGCTCTTGATGCCATTAAAACTCTTAATGTAATTTTACACGGGGAAAAAATAGACTGTCCAGCTTTGTAAAGAATTGCTAGAAAGAGCCATACAAACCCTGAGGGCTGTAAGCTTGTTTTTTGAACGTGTGGAAGGCAGAAATTGAATCTCTTGTGTAACACACAACTGAAGAGATGCTGGTGTTGGTGGCCCTGAGCTCTAATGGTTGACCTGTGTTTCCTGAACAGCCTCGGGACGTACGCGTCTCTGCGTGGGAACATCTACTGCAAACCTCACTTCAATCAGCTCTTCAAGTCCAAAGGCAATTATGATGAGGGCTTTGGACACAAGCAGCATAAGGAATTGTGGGCAGGTAAAACTGAATGTGAAGAATCCCCGGAGAAAACTGTCCATGGTGTGAATTCATCAGACACTCCACAAAGCCCAGGAGTAGAGGATGCCCCGATTGCAAAAGTGGGAGTTCTGGCAGCAAGTATGGAAGCAAAAGCTTCAGCTGTGCCTGAAAGGGAAGAAAGACCAGCAGAAACAAAAAAGCTCAGGATTGCCTGGCCACCTCCATCTGACCAAAGTATCCAAGGAAGTGCCTTAGATGAGGGCATCAAAGTACTCAAACCCAAGTGGCCTCCAGAAGAAGAGATTTCCAAGCCTGATGTGCAGGAGGATGTGGATCTGGATCTCAAAAAGTTAAGAAGATCTTCCTCGCTGAAGGAGCGAAGTCGCCCCTTTACAGTTGCAGCCTCATTTAGAACAATATCTGTTAAAGGTCATAAACCAGAGAATTCACCATCTCCTTCTAAGGAAGAGAGAGATACATTGAAAAGGAGTGAGGAACTGGAGAGAGAGGTTGTCATAGAGAAAAAGCAAAAGGAAAAGAAGGTGGAGCATAGGAACATCCAGAACGCTGGGGAGAAAAATGTGGAGGAAGAAGGGGAATTGTCTGGTATCAAAACAGCAGAGCAGAACATTGTAGAGAATGGCCAGATGAATGCAGACACAGATGAGGAAGAGCATGCTACAGAGGAGCCAGAAATTCCAAAGGAAGAACTTCTTGAACCAAATTCTCCTAAACATTCCAGCTTAGCCAATGTTGTGACCGCTAAGGAATCATCTCCAAACCAGAATCGCAAATCCCAAGACGTTGGTTTTTGGGAGGGTGAAGACATGGAAGATCTGTCTGTGGAAGAACAGATCAAAAGGAATCGCTACTATGAAGATGATGATGATGAATAAATCGGCCTTTTACTAGAAAACTTGCTGCAAGGTGCTGGGCCTTTTGAAATGGATATTTTTAGCTTTAACAAACAGCTCTCCTGGATGAAGTGATGCTGCACTGCACATCAGCATTAAGGGAATCTACCTACAAATTATCTCATCTAGAGAACTCTGGAAGCCTGCAAATTCTTTAGGTGCATGGAACAAGTGTCTGGCTGTGGGACAGCTTCAGCAGGTAGTGTCTGTCCCCAGCATGAGAACAGAGCTGTTCTCTGTCTTATCCCTTTGAGCTTCAATAGGTATTTCACTAACCATTTTTGGAATTCCACTGTACTTGCCATGCTGGTGTGGGACAGGGCTCTGGAACACACCACCCGTACCACTCCAAATGCTACTGCAGTGCTTAGGGACCAACTTCAAAGGGACTTTCTGGCCTGCTTTAAAATGGTCACTTAATGCACTTTAATACATGGAAAGGGCACAACTGGGCTTTTTTTTTTTTTTTTAAATAATAAAAGCATTTCTGTGTGTAGTGTCCAACAAGTAAAGCATCCTAAACTGAGTGCAATGTGAATTTCTGTCTCAAACCTGCCTGTGATCAGTTGAGGAGTCCCTGCACAACTGGAATGGTGCCCGTTGTTGGATCATGTGTATTTCAGTGCTATCCCAGGAGCTGTGCTGGCTGCCAGGTCTCTGCAAAAGACAAGTGAACACTTTGGAGCAGCCTGCAGGGCATTACTTCTGCATTTCACACCCATTTGAAGTGGAGTTTTTTGTTTGTTTTGTTGTCATTTCTTTTTTTTTTACTTGGAGTTCTTCGTCATCATTTTAAACTGCAGATAAGATTTTTAAGGCCTTTTGACAACTCTGAAATCCTACTTTTATCAAGCTGCCATAAATATTTTCCTTAGAGCTGTGAAATTGTGCTGCATTGCAAAAATCTCTGGAATCAGTGACACTTTCCAATTGCCAGTGTTGAAGATCAGAACATTTTTAAACTTGACTTCATTTATTTTACAAATAATAAAATCTTGAATGGGGGGAGGAGGAGGCCCCTTTTTTTTATTATTAGCTTTTATTTGTACTGTATTCTCAAGAGAATTAGATCTTAACGATTCTTGAGGTGTAAAATATTCTGCTTTCTTAACAGTTCTGCTAATGACAAAACCTTCAATAAAGTTTGGGTCATTTCCATTATAACTGAAGTCTGGATTCATCTTGTTTCACAAAAAGGCAGTATTTAAAGGGTCATAGAATTGTCATGGAATCATGGAATGGTTTGGGTCAGAGGGGACCTTAAACCTCATCACATTCCACCCCCTGCCATGGCAGGGACACCTCCCACTATCCTAGGTGCTCCAAGTCCCAGCCAACCTCGCCTTGGGCACTTCCAGGGATGAGGCATCCTCTGGGAAATCCATTCCACTGACCTACCACCCTTACAGGGAGGAATTCCTTCCCAAAATCCCCTCTAACCCTGCCCTCTGGCAGTTGAAAGCCACTGCCCCTTGTCCTGGCACTCCAGGTCTCTCTCCAGCTTTCCTGCAGCTCCTTCAGGGACTGGAAGGCCACAATGAGGTCACCCCAAATCATCTCTTTTCCAGGCTGAACAATCCCAGTTCTCCCAGCCTTTCCTCACAGCAGAGTTGCCCCATCCCTCTGATCTTCCTGGTGCCTCCCCTGGACTCTCTCCTATAGCTTCACATCCTCCCTGTGCTGAGCCCCAGGGCTGGGGGCAGCTCTGCAGGTGGGGTCTCACCTGAGCAGGGCAGAGGGGCAGCCCCCCTTCCCCTGCTGGGGGCTCAGCCCAGGCTCAGGGGGCTCCTGGGGCATGTCCAGCACCTCAAACCCTCCCCAGGGCTGCTCTCCATCTATAAAAATAGAGGGAAGAGATGGGTGAGTTCCCGGTGCTCCCACTGGAAGGCAGCCCGGGCTGGCTCTGGTGCCCCACTAGGTGACACTGTGTGTCCGTGGTTTGCTGCTCGACTCAAATGAGCAGCTTCTGCTCTCAGATTGAAGAGAGATTAGAACAGGACTGGCAAAAGGAATAAGGACAGGCAGGGAATTTTCACTTCCATTTCTGGCTCCAGGTGGCTCTCAAGGGCAGCTGAGGACAAGTGAGGGTTTTTCTCCCTTCCTATCAGCTGCTTTTAATTTAAGTTATTGTCACTTGAGCCTGTGAGGGGTTTGGTTGGGAGAGAGTGGGATAAGAGCCAGAAGCAATGCAGTGAATATTCTGCAGCAGTACAAGGAAATGCTCATGTGTATGACATGGATATTGGGAAGAAGGGAAAAGCCTCCTTCCTAGTTGGAAGGTGTTAGCAGTTTCACAACCTACTGCTCATTTTCCTTTCTTTTAAATGGAGAATAAGGCTTTGCTTTGGACAAAGGAAAAACTAAAAAACCTGATGGGCAAACCCAAGCTGCTTTCTGTCACCTTTTTCTGCTCCTAACAAAATCCATTTAGTATCAGATTTCCTCAAATTGCTAAGCAACCAGAGATCTCTCTGACTGGAAATTGTGCTGTTTGAAAAGGGAGGGAAGATCATTTGTCGTGGACTTGGATTTATGGAATATGCCAACTGCTCGTTTCTAAGGAAACGCAATTGAATTTTACTGTGTCTTCCCGGTTACGTGATACTGAAGCAATACTGGCTGCACTTACCAGAGACTTTAATCAGAAAATCATTAATTCTAGTTAAATCTGAGGCATCTGCGAGTCTCTGACATACAGGGGCCTGCATCCAACTGAACATCTTCAAGGAGAAATTAGCACATCGGGTACTTCTAAATAAAGTCATTGATTAAAAAAAAAAAAAGGCGAATAGATCATAAATTACTCTATCCTCGAATCTATTAGTTATCATAGCATTTGAGTGCTTAATGGGCCATTTAATCTATTCTCCACTGGACAGGTGCCAAAAGAGACATTACACTAAGCGTGGATCGTTTGCTGCCCTGTCTTGCTGCCTTGAGGACTTTTACCAGTTAAAAGTCGTCTCTGCTTGTGGAAACCGCGAGGGCTCAGCAGCGTGTGAAGCATCGACATCACGGCCGTGACACGGTGGAATTGTTGGGGTGTCGGTGCAGGGCCAGGAGTCGGACTTTGATGATCCTCGTGGGTCCTTTCCAACTCGCTATATTCTGTGGCCCTGTGGCTCTGTCACCTTTTGGCTCTGTGACTCAGTGGATCTGTGACTTTTTTTTCAGTCACTCCGGTTCTGTTCCCTCAGGGGGCGCTGAGGGGGGTGGCGGGGCCGCGCGCGCGCGCTCCTCCCTCACGACCCCGCGCGCTCCGCGCGGGCGGGAACGCGGGGGCGCAGCACCGCGCATGCTCCAAAGTAACGGGCCGCGCGAGGGCCCGGCGGAACGGCCGTGAGCAACGGCCTCGCCCCCGTGAGCGGCGGCCGCAGTGAGGGGCGGGCTCAGGTGTGGCGGTGAGCGCCGGGACCTCATTTTAGCTTCGTTTGGTGGCTGTGGCGACCGCCAGAATCAGCGGCCGCCGGGAGGGGCGGGGCAAGGCGATAAAGGGCGCGGCTTCGTCCCAGCTCCGCACCGCCTGTGGCGGGCGATGCAATAAGGGGAACGATGATGAAAAAGAGGGGCGCGGTGTATTCCAAGCCCGCCCCTTACGGGCCGCGGCCCGGCGATGAGAGGCGCGGCTTCCTTCAGCCCCGCCCGGCCGTGTCGGTGGCGCCCACCCGTGTGGCGGCGGCAGCAGGGCCGGGCCGGGGGGCTGAGGCGTGAGGGGCTGAGGCGATGAGGGGCGCGGTCTCTCTAAGCACCGCCCCCTCGGCACCGGGACTGCCGCCCGATTCGCTGCCGCCGTGACGGGCAGGGCGGGGCTGGCGCTCGGCCGCGCCCCCGTGTCTGTGGCGGCCGCCCGAGCGCGGCGGCGGCAGGCGGAAGATGGCGGCGGCCGCGGCGGCGGCGCTGCGGGCCTGGTTCTGGAACGAGCGGTTCTGGCTCCCGCACAACGTGACATGGGCCGACCTGGCCGGCGAGCCGGGCAGTGGGCTGCAGTACCCGCGGGCCGCTCACGTCCTCTCCGCCTTCCCGCTGGCGCTCGGCATCTTCGCCGTGCGGCTTCTCTTCGAGAGGTGAGCGCGGGGCCGCCCCCGGGGCGGCGGGGCCGGGAGGCGCTGGGGTCTGTGAGCACCGGGCCGGGCCTGGGGGCGGCTCGGCGGGGGCTCCCCCGCACCCTGCGGGGCCTCCGCGAGGCCCTGCGCGCGTGGAAAGGGGACATTGTGTAATCCCGCGAATCTGTCGCGGGAGTCGTGTCTGTCGCGACATGCACAAGCCCGTGGGGCTCTACTGCCCTGGATCTGCATGACGAGAGGCCCCTCCAGTCCGGCGGTGCTGAGGTAGTGCCAATAAAAATCCCATGTTTCATATAGGAATTCACTTTTACTCGTGCTCCTGCCCGGGAGAACCTCGCTGGGTGACGGACAGAGCTGGCGGCTGCTGCTCCGCGCTTGGCTTCCGTGTGTGCTTTATTGTACTTTCCCTGAGTTCCTGGATGAGGAAATAGGGCTGCTTCACATGGCCTGATGCATTATTAAATACTTGGTGGCTCTCCCTCGTCTCGGGCGCGATGGATGTGAGTGCGGATCTTGGTCTCTGCCCATAAACAGGTGTAATACGGGATTCCTCATTTACCTGGGCATCCATAAGCATGCGAACTCAGCCCTGGGGCACAGGCAGATCCGTGTGTGGTGTGGATCTGCCACAGCCACACGCAGTGTGTGGGTGGCAGAGATATTAATTAGTAAAGCGGCTTACTTAGGAAAGCCTTAGGTGAAACGGACCAAGACACCCTCTGTTGCTGTGCAGGTAGTTCATTAAACATTGATTTAATCTTAAATTTCTGCCTTGAAAGGGCAAAAGTTGGCCAGGTTGGATGGACTTGGAGCAACCTGGATAAGTGGGAAGTGTCTCTGCCCACGGCAGGGGATGGGGCTGGGTGAGCTTTAAGGTCCTTTCCAACCCAAACCATTCCATGATTCCCCAGGTATTTCTAAGCATGAAAAAGGCTGCAGGATTAAAGTGAGTGGGAATTGAGTCGTTTTTTTCCCTGTGGATTTTCTTTAAGAAATGTGAATTTTTCTGAGCTTTCAGAAATTAAGAAGAGGTGGTTGGGATGAAGTAGAAAGATGGCAAATATGGAGGAAAATGAAGCAGGTCAGCAGAGAGGTGAGAAACTTGAGAGACTTTATTTTCTCCATGCTGTTTTTCTGCCCTTAAGAAAAGGCTTCAGAGAACCCAGGAACACACGTGGCACTGCCAAAATCCCATCTCAGCTTGGTGTGTGCTGGTCCTGGCCAAACCTTGGTACTTGCCAGGACACGATGAAATGAGGTTGTGAGACACAATAACAACGATATTGTAGGGAGGTTCCTAATCCAGGTGTCAGTCTGGGGATGAGGTGCAGAATATTCTCTTTTCCTGGAGTTGTTGGGGAAGATGCACTACACCTGATGGCACACTGCTCCAGGCAGCGTTTCCTTTGTCCTGATACTGTCTCCCTGCTTTATGAAATTTCTTTTGTGGTGTGAATTTAGGCTGGAGTCAAATGATGATTTAACTCCTGAGCCTGCAGAGCAAAGCTCAGAGGCCAAGGTCTGCTTCCTGAGGGGGTTGTTCCTGATCTCAGCTGTGTCTCGGTGGTGTCCCAAAGTGAAAGCAGATTGTGACAGCCCATCTCAGGCAGTTTCTGGTGTGTTTATTTTAAAAGTACATCTCTTTGAATAAACTCCTTTCTGTTTCTTCCAGCCACTTTGAACATGTCATAAAAGTTCAGCTTTGTCTCAGTAAACTCCTGTGGTGCATTTATTCCAATTCAGGCTTTGATTGTGTCAAATGTCTCTCTTGACACACATTTCACAGTTGGATTGGTGACTCAGAATGTGAATTACAGACTCGTGCAGCTCTTTTGGTTGAGCTGCTTCTTTTCTCTCTCCTTTTGCAGCTCCTCACTGTGAGGAAGTGCTTTGTGCTGCAACACTGACACGTTTCTGTTAGTTAGAATTCCACTAAAAACTACCTTTTACATCATGGCATTGACAAAATAATCATTAGTTTGTTTGTCTGTGGGCAGTTTATGACTGTAGGGGTGAGGCAGGACTCATAGAGGAAGGTAAAGACAGTGTAAAGTGAGAGGGTGAGGATTTTTGAGTGGTCAGCAAAGACTTTTGCCCATAAATTTGGTTTATATTTTTTATCCTTGATTATAATTTTCAATATTTCTCCTTGCACATCTTGTCCCACTGCAGGCAAAAAAAAAAAAAAAAATTTAAAAAATCCCAGGTATCTGCAAAAACCTGGATGTGATGTGCTTCTAGCTGCACTGGAGTGCTCTTTGGAACCAGATGTGGTTTTACTGGACAGATCTGAGGAAGGATCTGCAGCTTGTGCTCCAGCTGGGGAGGGAGAGAAAAAGGTGATTTGAGATGTTACTTAATCAGGTCTTTTGTGGAATGAGGTGGTTAAATCTTAACACAGCAAAATTGAGAGGTTATGGAAATACAAACTCAAAAAGTGCATATTCAATACATCTCACTTTGGAGATTGTTCTTCCTTTAAGAGCTGTGGTAGGGACTCACCAGCCAAACTCGAATGTTCATAAAGCAAGATTCTGCCCTTTTGTGCAGCACAACATGCCTGAGAACTATTTGTTCTAACATATGAGTCTGTGGACTTGCAAATTGGTTTTAAAATCAGTGTGTGTTAACAACTAGTGTGAAAGGGAAGGCTGGGGTGTGAGCTGATCCCTGTTGATAAAGGTTTAATAGAAGTGTTTATGTGATGAGAATTTCTTGCTGGAAGGTGTGGCAGTAAGTTGACCTTGGGTATAGTTTGTTGCCGTTGAGATTTCTATAAAATCATAAAATCATTTAGATTAAAAGGGACCTTTCAAGGCCACCTCATCCAGTCCTCTCCTCAAAGCAAGGCCAGTGTTCAGGCAGCTCAGGTCACCCGTGGTCTTCTGCTGTTCAGTTTGAATATCCCCAAGAATGGAAACTCTGCTGTCTGGGCAGTATTGTTGTCTATTTTGGGGGTTGTGTAGAACTTTGTCACTGTGGGATTCAGTGCAAAGCACGTCTGAAAACCTGCTCTGGGACCAAAAATTTGAAGTGCCACAGCAGTTTGAAGTGTGAGTTTACCCTGCTGAGTTTATCTAAAAGCAGCTCAGCTTGGGATTTTCCTGTCTGAGCAGGGGATTCACCACTGAATGGTGAATTCACTCATGTTCCACCTGCAAGTTCACATGTGAACTTCTCTGCTGCACTTGTGGTATATCCTGTAGGAGAGCAGAGTATAAAAACATATAATACTTGGTATTTTTTAAATTTTTGTGGGGGTCTTGCCAAATGTTTCATAAGATCAGGACAGGATTTCTGGCTGGTGGTCTGGATTATGGCAGAAGCTGTGAGCCTTTGGAGCCAAGCTCAAAGGAAATCACTCCTTCCTTTTTTATTTTTTAATTTATTTTTTTTAAGCTGTGGGCGTTGAGATGTAGTTTAGCATGTCCAGAGACAGGAGGCAGAGCTGGGAAGGGTCTGGAGCACAAGGAGAGGCTGAGGGAACTGGAAAGGGGCTCAGCCTGGAGAAAAGGAGGCTCAGGGGGGACCTTGTGGCTCTGCACAACTCCTGACAGGAGGGTCAGGTTGGGCTACAAGGAGGAATTTCTTCATGGAAAAGGTGGCCAGGCCTTGGAAGGGGCTGCTTAGGGAAGTTTGGAGTCCCTATCCCTGGGGGTGTCCAAGGACGTGGCACTCGGTGCTCTGGGCTGGTGACAGGGAGGGGGATCAGGCACAGCTTGGGCTCAGTGATCCTGGGGGGATTTTTAACCTCACAGATCCTGGATGGAGACATAGGAAGAGCTGCAGCAGACAGGGAAGCCTGGGCCCACAGTGTCTGTCGTTTGTTTAGTGTTTTCTGAGAGCTGAGTGTTCCTTTGGGATCAGTCACAAGCTGATCTGTAATTCCTCAAGGGAAAACTCCACGACCTGGGACTGTTCTTAAATGCAGCCACAGATATTTGTTCCTGAAGCACTAAGTGAGTATTCCTGAGAATAATTACTGTTGGAGCACTTAGAGCCACAATTCTCCTGAATTTTTAATCTTTTCTTTCAAACACAAGGAGAAATTGTAACAATTGTGGTTGGAAAAAGCAGCATTTTCTGCTTGGTGGCACTGGGAGGCTCCTAAATATGTGTAATTTCAGCTTAGCTCTCTCTGAAACAATCTCTCTGTGAAAGCAAAATAGTTTTAAGGGTTCAAATCTTGTGTCCTTTTCAAAATCGGTTTGAGAAACAGGTTCTTCCTCAAAATAACTGATTAAAAGATACTAAATTTTGCTCCTTTAACCCCCTCTTTTGCCCACCAACAGGAGAGGAACAATTAATGTGTCAGGTAAGGCAGACATTTCCCTTGGAACCCTGAGCCCATTCTGACACAAATGTGCAACAAAACCTGGTAATTTTGAGCATGTTTATATTTGTTTTAGTTTCAAACCCAGGCTTGTTTCCAGAGTCTGTGCTATAAAATCCAGGAAGAGTTAAATCAGTTTGGAATACACAGAGCACGTGGGACAGATGAAATCCTGAGATCAGGGATCTTTCAGACTGGGGGACTTGCATCTTCCTGTCTGTCCTGAAGCAAACAAGCCACTTTATTTTTCCTCTAAGAAAAAGTTACTTCTGGGAGCTGTGTCACTTGAACTTCCCTTTTTTCTGAGCTATGTGACACCAAGGCCTATTTTGGAAACAAGATGCTTTGTTTTAGGGCTTCATCTCCAGCATTTCTGTTCACAGCAGACTGCTATCAGTCTATTGTTTTATTGCTGAGGAATGAGAATCTCCCTGGGGAGCACATTCAGATCTTTACAAGCCAAGGGCATTAAGATCTAATTTTTCATTCTGGTGTGCATAGTATGTGCTGTCTGCAGTTACCATATGGACTAATAAAAGAAATTTCTTCACCTGGGAATTGGTGAAATGGAGACTTCAAAAGCTTTTTCACCAGGTTTTGCAGCTGGTGACAAATGCAGGTCCTTGTGATTCAGGCACAGGAAGGAAATAAATATCTTGTTTTAATCCAGCTCTTTCTGGGCAATTCTTGCAGGTTTATTGCCAAGCCATGTGCCATAAACCTTGGCATCCAGGACAGTGGACCTCACAGAGCCCAGCCCAATGCAATTTTAGAGAAAGTGTTTACATCCATCACTAAGGTGAGTCACACTTCAAATTCCTCCTTCATTCCAAAGGGAATGGAGGCCTGGAAGTGTCTCAGGGGGGGCTTTTGCTTCCACTTTTCTGCATTGAAAAGCACATTTCACACTCTGCATCCACGTGTGAGCTTGTTCTGGTTTTCCTTTGCCTCTGGCAAGTCCTTCTGGTAGCAGAGTCAGTTCCCTGTATGGCTGAGGCATGGTTTTGTGCACAGAAGAATCTTTGGGATACAAATGCTGCCCTGATCAGCAGGCCTGAGCTGCTTCCTTTGGTCCAAGTTACACAGTGGGGATTCTTGGTTTAATCAGAGATTTCCCAGCATCTTCCACTTTTATTGGGAAAGGGTTCCTCTTTTTCTTGAGCTCAGTTCCTTTTCTGATTTTATTGTTTTTATTGTGAATGTCTTCCTGTAATTTTTGCCATTTACTGTAAACCTGGACAGCAGTTGTCAGTGGAAGGGGATTATTCAGGGAGGTGTTCAGGCAGTGAAGGTTGTCCTGATGAAGGGCAGGACATTTAATGGTGGCAGGAGGTGTTTCTTTGGGTTGTTTCCTTCTTTGCCTTAAACTCACAGGCCTACAGAATGACAGAATCCCACTGTATTTTATCCAACATTGAATAAGTGCAATAGATTGTCATTAAAGATAACAAAATGGAGGTTTTTCTGTTGAGATTTGGAGATGCTGAACCACATCTACTGGACCAGATAAAGGGAAATTCTATAAAAACCTCAAAAAAACTTGCCTTGTGGGAACATTAAAGTTTTGAGGCATTTGGAATGATGTGTGAACTGAAAAATCCCCAGAATCTGATGCCCTTTGTTGGGAGAACTTTAATGCAGGGGATGTCCTTGAAATAAATGTTTAGAAAACCCGGGAGGTGCAGAATTTGTCTGGCTGATGAAACCTTTAGCTGTCCCAGTGTGCTGTGGGGTTTGGAGAGCCAGGCTGGGGTCCCCTGGTGTAGGGGAAGGATTTCACTGCTGCTCTGAGCTGGAGCTCTGGATTCCTCTAGAGGCAGGTGCTTTCCCAACCACTGAATCCCAGGAAAGTGCTGAGAGATGTGGTGTGATGGATTGACAGGACAGTCATGGTCTCAAGGCTGAAAATCAAATTATTCTGATTTTGATTTTCAGCTGGGCAAACTGATGGTTTTTTATTAAATCAACATTCTGCATAGCTTTTGTGGTTGATATGTAACTCAAAGAGTAAAATGTGTTTATCATCTTTCAGTGGTAGAGCTCTCTGGCAGAGTTGGTCTGAATTATCTCACTCCTGGGCCATTATAGAGGGAGCTACCAGGTTTGGTTCACTTTGATAAATCCATTTGTGTTCATTCAGACAGGTGGAGAACAGGGATCTATTATATCCATATTTGTCATGGAAGTACTTCAGTCTTCAAATATATTTTCATTTATAAACTTTGATAACAGAAATAACACAATTTCTACAGTGCCCTTATGGAATATACAAATATCTACTGTGTTAAACCAACTCTTACTTTAAAGTTTCCCTGTCCTTGCTGTGAATAGCAAACCTTAAACATCTTAAGCTTTGCTCCGGAGTTCTGGGTGCAGCTTTAACAGTAGGACAGAACATTTTAACAGCTCCTCCCCCAAATCAACCCACAGAACAGTCACATTCTTTGTCTTAATGTGCTGTCAACTGATGAAATAGGTGAGGAAATGCTCAACCAAAACCATTCTGAGTAATTAAGTAATTAGTGGCTTATGAAGGTTAAATCTGAATGAGCATTTGTGGCCATGGGCTCTTACTTCCAGACTCTGTGGTCCCTTCCTGGTGTTTTTTTTTGTTATCTGTGCATTATTTCTGTCATAGTGCAGGACTGGAAGTAGCTTGGAGAGTGGGAGAAATGACATTTGTTTCATTTTCCTTCAGTCTCCAGATGGAAAAAGGTTAGAAGGCTTGTCCAAGCAGCTGGACTGGGATGTCCGAAAGATCCAGCGCTGGTTTCGGCATCGGAGGAACCAGGACAAACCCACCACCCTCACTAAATTTTGTGAGAGCATGTATGTTTGTGCAGAGGGGCTTCATCTTAGAGCTCTAGCTGGGCCTGGGGGGCAGCTGCTCTGCCAGAGAGGGGCCAGAATTCCTGTACAAGCAAATAGGGCAGTTAAAGGAGGTTCTAGAATTCTGAAATGTTTTGTGAGCATGTCTGAGAGAGCAGAACGGGGCACAGGAGGCAGTGCTGGGCAGCTTTAGACACTGGGCCAGGTCCTTGGTGACACTTGAGAGTGTCCATGTGTCCCTGTCCACGTGTCCCTGTCCATGTGTCCCTGTCCTGTCCGTGTGTCCCTGTCCGTGTGTCCCTGTCCTGTCCGTGTGTCCCTGTCCGTGTGTCCCTGTCCGTGTGTCCCCGTGCCCACACTGGCTGTGAATCCCCTGGGACTCTCCTGCACGCCCCGCTCCTGCCCAGAGCTCATTCCCATTCCCACCTTCTGGCTTCCTTTTCTTCTCTCTTCAGCCCATTCTTTGTTCCCCGTTCCCTCCGAGCTCCTGTAGTTTTCTCTGTAGTGCAATAGAACCTCAGTATTTTTTCCTGACTTGTTTCTCCTCTGCTGGTTTCTTTCCTTTCCAGTAACTTTCAATTCTTCCCCCAGTATGGTTTTGTCTACCTAAAGCCACAAGGTAAGAGGGGAAAATAACAAACACTAGGATATCTCTGGGTGACAACAGCTTTGCTTGTTGTTATCTTGTGTCTCTTAAATATGGAATGATGCATGTTCACCGTGAGTTTCAAACCTGGCTGTTGATGCAAGCCCATGTGTGGTGTGAAAACTCTTCAGTAGGTTTATGTTACCTGAAATTTTTAGAAATCAAGGTGGGTGAAGGCTTTTCAGGTGTGAGATTTTGTCAGATTTTTCCCAATTATTTAAATTAATTTTACAAATGCTAACCAAAAGCTAATTCTATGTCCTAAGTTTATTTTTTACTTCTTTTTCCAGGTGGAGATTTACATTTTATTTCGGTATATTTTTTTATGGAATCAGGTTTCTCTGGACGGTAAGTTGCTGTGTCACCCACGTTGTTGTTCTGTGTGGTTGCAGTTGAATGATCCCTGATTTGGGATCCTGGGGGTTCTGTTAAAGACCTTCTTTGCACTATAGGGAAGCTCCTATGCAGATCTGTCATTTTGGAAATAATAGAAAATTATTTGATGTGTTACTCCCGAATGTTGGAAAAAACAAGGTGGGTTTTGGGTTTTCTTTGCTATGGAGAGCTGCTCCTTTTTTTTCTCTTTTCCTCTTGAAGGGATACAGGTTCATCTCCTTGGCTCTTTATAATTATTAGAGCTGTATGTTTATTCTAGAAATTTCCATTGCAGCAGAACTCACACTGGCAGCACAAATCAGACTTTAAATCACCAGGGTTTTTTACAGTAAATGTAGTTTGAATGGCAGAATAAAGGTAAAATTTCAGTGAGGCAGTGCTGTAGTGTCAGGGGACTTTAGGTGCTGGGGAAGAAAACACCCAGTACAAACTGGGGGTTTATATAAATTCTTATTTATATATAACAAAAACCTACATATTCCCTTTAGGCACCCTGGTTTTGGGACACACGACAGTGCTGGTACAACTACCCTTTCCAGGTATGAAAGAAACACCTCCTAAATTCCAACTTTTTGGACAATTCCAGTTTTTATTTTTGTTATTGACACTGGATTAAAACTCTGCCATTTACTTTTTGTGCCTTTACATCCTGGTTAGGTTTGGCAGCACCAGGGTTTCCTCAGATACATCTGACTCAGTCACTTTGTGTGTATTTCCTCCTGAGATTATTAAAAGTTGGAGAAAAAGGCATAAAATCATAGTGGTAATTTATTTATTTACTGTGTAGAGACCAACAGTCTGTTCCAGAGCCTGGTTTTCCTACTCCAATAGGCTCCAGCAGGAGTTGTAAATATTGATAAGGGAATTTACTCCTTTGGAAGAAAGCTCAAACACACAATTACATTTGTGTGAGTAAGCCTGGAGTAAGATGCCTGTTTTTATTAAACCTGAATGATTTAACTTATATTTCAGCAATTCTGGAGGAACAAAGTGGGATGGAAAAGGTGGAAGGAAAAAAGTGATTTTAATGTAAAATTTGAATTATTTTGTCTTATAAGTGTGCTTTCTCTGTGTGTTTTCCAGCCTCTAACATCCAGGCTTTATTATTACTATATCTTGGAGCTGGCCTTCTACTGGTCCCTCATGTTTTCTCAGTTTACAGACATTAAACGGAAGGTGAGATGACCCAGAATTGCATTAACCACTCAATAGCTGTAATAAAAACAAGAATAATAGGTAGGACTAACAAAAAATGGGAGTGTGCCTGTCCAGGAAAGCCAAAATGTAGTGGTAATTATATTTTCTTCCTCATTTACACCTTTTTGAGCCCTGAGAAAAAGGGAGGAGCGAGGCTGACCTGGTGTATCCTTGAATTCCGTTCACCTTCCAGGGGACAGAGCAGCTTCACTCAATACCTCCCAATCAAAAATTAACAAATCATTGCCTAAAAATAGATTTAACTGAAAGGCTTGCAAGAAAATGAGCTGCTCAAAGCAGTACCTTGCTGAAGCTACTGAGGAAATAGCAAACACTAAGGAAATAATAAATGGGGTTTTGAAAGGAATATCTCATCTGTGTGAGGAGCAGATGATGAGTGGTTGCAGTTGCTCAAATCTAATTCTGTCATGCTGCATTCCAGGATTTTGTTTTGCAGGTTATTGTTGCTGTTGGAGAACAGTCCCCAGTAAATCCTGGCTTATTGCTTCCTTTACATGAGCTGCAAAGCAGCAAATTATCCCAATTTTTGCATTGGCTGTTAAAAAACAACACGTTTTTTCTGTGCTGAAATTTGAGCAGGTGGGGCACTGTGGAATACAGTGGAGCTGCAGACAGGGAGTGATGAACAACCTCTGGGACTCTGTAATTTTTCATTTTGACTTTAACAGGTGGATGACATTCCCCGTGGCAGCAGGGTGAGGTACAGGGAGCCAGGGGCTGAAGTGCAAACCAGCCTGAATATTGTGCATTGTAATCATTTTTTGTTCTTCCTGCTTAGTTTACCTGGTGTTCTGTGCCTGCTCTGCCCTGGCAGGGTTTGGTCACTGACAGCAGTAGTAGCACTTAGTGTCCCAGGAGCTGAGGGGACTTCAGTGTGTCTGAAAAACCAGGAGGAGATAAAAATAAGGGTCATCTTGTGCTCTGAATCATATCTGTGGGGTCTGCAGGTACAGTTGTGTGTGTGTGCCACAGAGTCTGTGCTGCTCCCTGAGCAGGCAGAGCTCTGACTTCAGCAGCACCAAAGCTGAGAGATCTTTCTGGAAGCTTTTGTGGAGATGGTGGGATTGTGATGAGCTGTGATTGTTGTGGAGTCAGAGCCTGAACCGAAGGAATCCTGTGACCCTAGTGACTCAGTTGGGTGGCTCTGTTCCAAACTTTTGCATTTGTGTGACGACCAAAGAGTCTTCATTTGTGCTCTTCCTGTTTCCAGGACTTCCTGATCATGTTTGTCCATCACTTGGCCACGATTGGACTCATCACATTCTCGTACATGAATAACATGGTGCGGGTTGGAACTCTGGTGCTGTGCCTCCACGACGCTTCAGATTTCCTCTTGGAGGTGAATTTCCTTTCAGTCTTTGCATCCCTAATGCTGATGTGGTCTCAGGGGAACAAGCTGACATTCCCCTTCTTGATAAACTGCTTTAAATGTGCCATGAAATTGGTGCTGCTGCTCCTGCCTTGTCAGCTTTTCCTCCAAACTGCTTGGGTGCTGAGAGTAACAAAACCACGGAATGGTTTGGGTTGGAAGGAACCTTAAAGATCATCCAGTTCCACTAGCCCAGGTTGCTCCAAGTCCCATCCAGCCTGGCCTTGGACGTTTGCATGGATGGGGCAGCCACAGCTTCTCTGGGTAACCTGTGCCAGAGCCTCACCACCCTCTGACAGGGTGATTGTATCCTCTGGCAGTTTGAAGCCATTCCCCCTTGTCCTGTCACTCCAAGCCCTTGTAAATAGTCTCTCTCATTGTTCTTGTAGGACCATATAAATAACAGTATAAAAAAAATTAATGTAATAATCCCTCTTTGTTCCAAACTGTACAAATGTGATTGAGAGTGTTTTGCATCTCTCCAGCCTGGTAATTACAGGAGTGCACAAAGGGAATAATATTTGCATGTTTATTGTCTCTTGTAGGCTGCAAAACTGGCCAATTATGCCAAGTACCAACGTCTGTGTGATGCTTTCTTCATGCTCTTTGGGGTCGTGTTCATCGTGACCCGCCTGGGCATTTACCCTTTCTGGTAAGCACCTGGAGCTGGGAGGCCTTGGTTGTTCTCCCAGTCCTTTCAGCAGAGCCTTTGTTTTAACTTTTCCCAAGCATTCCAGCTGTCCCTTGAGGCAGCCTGAAGCAGCACTGGCCCAAGTGCTGTTTGGGGCAGGAGGTTTGAGTAGGCACATGAAGAAATCTCTCCCCACTCAGCTGAGGGACTGGGTGGAAGAGTCCAGAATCCCATTCACAGCTGCCCCTCCCCTGCTGCAGTGATGACAGACTCAGCCAGAATTGCTCTGAGAGGCTTGAAGGATTCTCTGCTTCTCTGAAGAAGTTCTAGAAATAATTACAAGTGAGGCACAGTCTCTTGAGGTCTTTTTTGTGTTTATTTGGCTTAGTCATCACTGCAGTTTCTGATTCTTAAGACACTTCTGTCCTGTCCTTGTGTCGTGACTACTCAGAGCCTGAAATAGGTCTGGGGTTTCTTAGGAGGTAAAACCCTGGATAAATGGCTTAGAGAGAATCATCCCATAATGAGATTCCCTCTCACCTCAGTAGGTCAGACCTGGAGCAGTGCTTTGGTTAATGAGCTGTTGTCCGTTTATTGTGTGTGATGACAATTTGGTTAAACCATTTTACTGCCTGCATTTATTTCCTAGGCCATGGACACCTGGCATTCCCATTTTTTTTGGGTGCCTGGTAGGCAGCAACAATCCTTTCACTTTAGCATCAGGGTTGCAGTTAAAGCTCTTGCCTATTTTCCAGTAAATGCACCAAAGGACTCTGGATGAAGAAGAGCTTTAATTCCTATTTCTTCATAGGCTCCTTCCAGGGACAAAATAGAGAGTTGTTTTAGCAGCTGCTGTCTGTCGTGAGGGGGATGCTCTTACCTCACACCAGTGCTCAGCATCCTGTAAATCTTTAATGTGTTTTTCCACTGGCTGTAATGTCACTCCTCAGCTTTGCAGAGGAATCTGGCAAGCTGCAGCAGCACTGCAGCCCCTGTGCTGTTTTACTGCACGTGTATTCCCTTCCCTAATTGGTAATGTAAAACATCAGCAGATCTCTGGAATCACATTTAATTCTTTCATAAACCTGCTATGAGTTAAATACTTCTGGAGCTGCCTTTTGGGGGATTTTGGTTCTTGTTTGAAAGGCTTGTTTTGATTTTCTTGTGTTAAAAGCTGCGTGAAATTAATGTGGTTGTTAAAGATCTCTCCATACCTCTCTGCATCATAAAATCTGAAGTGTTTATTAAATTGCTGAAGGACTGGCAATAACTCCCAGCAACAAGAACAGCAAAACAGTAATGAAAGAAACACAAGGCATGGGCCATAAAGCAGTTTTGAGTCTTTCAGCCTGGCTGGAGGAATCTATAAAACTCTGAGGGAAGAGAAGAGTACCCAGGGAGGGAGGGAGGGAGGCCCTCTAGGGACAAAATTCCTTCCTGATCCCAGAATCCTTGAGGCTGGACAAGCCCTCCAAGACCAGATTCCAGCCTGTGACCAATCCCCACAGGAGCAGTGAATGCCACGTCCAGTTGTTCCTTGGGCACCTCCAAGGAACTCCAAGGGACTCCAAACCTCCCTGGGCAGAGCCTCCCAATGCCTCACCACCTTTTCCATGAAGAAATTCCTGCTGATGTCCAACTTGAACCTTCCCTGGCACATCCCTCTTGTCCTGTTATACACCCCCCAGCTGCCCCCTCCTGTCAGGGAGTTGTGCAGAGCCAGAAGGTCCCCCCTGAGCCTCCTTTTCCCCAGCTGTTCCAGCTGTGGACACTCTCCAGCCCCTCAATATCTCCTTGCTGGGAGGGCCCAGAACTGGACACAGCCTCACAGAGGGACAATCCCTGCCCAGCTCCTGTGCCCACCCTATTTTTGATACAATTTTTGATCTTTAAATCTGGGTGAAAGCTGCCCAAGCAGGAAGGTGTTAACGGTTGTTTTGGTGACCAGAGCAGCCTGACATCACTTCCTGTGAAGTTGTTATAAATAAATGCTTGTGCTTTGGAGAAGAAAATTGGCAGCAGATCCGTGTGTGTAACCAAATTGCAGCACATTCACATGTTCTGTTTTGTTGCTCAGTTCAAATGCTCCTAATGAGCTTTACTCAGTCTCCTGACTCTGGCAGGAGCAGAGCAGCAGATGCTCAGTGAGACACAAACTGTTGTGCATCTGGCCTGGCACCTCCAGTCAGAGCTGAGCACAGCTGATCTGAAACGTGTTTCTGGATCTCTTTCAGGATTTTGAACACAACCCTGTTTGAAAGCTGGGAGCTGATCGGTCCCTACCCTTCCTGGTGGCTGTTCAACGGGCTCCTGGTGACCTTGCAGGTCCTGCATGTCATCTGGTCTTACCTCATCATCCGCACGGCCTCCAAGGCCCTGGTGAGGGGCAAGGTAAGGCTGAGGGAGCCTTCTGGCTCCTCTTTTCTACAAGCCCCGTTAAGGAATTGTGAGAAATTGGGCTTTTCAGTGAGGGCTGGTGTTGGTTCTTAAGGGATTTGTGTCAAGAGTTCACAAAAACAGTGTTTTTTTTACCTTGATTGCTCTGCACTTGTGAGTTCCCAGGTGTGTTCAAAGGCAGGGAGTCTCTCCTGGGCATGCAGGGGAACAACTCCATTTTCCAGTACATTCAAATGTCCTGAAATGGCAATTATGACACTCTTGTTGTGCACTCTGGAGTTTAAGGTGGTAGCAGGCTCTCTTTTGGACAACAGGATGAACACACAGGATGTTTCCCAACTTCAGCTGGTCCTTGGGATGTGCTGGGGATTGTGCTTCTTCACTGGCTCCTGTCTGCCAGTGCACTGAGCTCCTGCACCCAGGGAAAGGGTTCCCAGGGATGCAGTGGGGTTTGCTGGTTGTGAAAGATCACAGACTGGCCTGGCTTTGAAGGGACCTTAAAGATCATCCAGGCTGGACAGGGCTTGGAGCAACCTGTGGTAGTGGAAGGTGTCCCTGCCCATGGCAGGGGGTGTAACAAGGTGGGCTTTAAGGTCCTTCCCACCCAATCCATTCCATGATTCCATGAAACCAGCAAAAAAGCTGATTTAGTAGCACAAATGCTTTTTCCTATCAGATATTGATATTCTGATCTGGGTTTCTCTGACGGCTCTGCATTATTTTGTGTTTGACTTTAGCTGCCCCTACACATGGAATGTGGCCTTGGAAAATAGAAATATTCTGGTTGACTCTGGGGGCAAGCAGGTTTCAGGGTACGAGCTCTTCATCTGTTCCCCACAGGCTGCTACTACAAATGCCTGATTTTCATTCTCTGCAGCTGTTTCTATATCCTGAGTTCTACACCTTTTCCCTTTCCTTGGTTCTCTCCTGTCCAGGTGACCTAGCCAGAGAAAGGACTCTAAGCTCTGTCTTCTTCATTCTTTTCTCCTTTTCTCTGTGCCAGATTGGAGCTGGACAGTTTCACCCTGTGCATGTAAGTGTGACCTGTGTTTCTGTTTGTTCACTGAAACACATCTGTGTCGAAGCCCCAAGACAAAAGCAGAGCCCTGTGCCTTCTCCTTCTCTCCCTGGTCCTGACAGAGTGCTAAAATACTGTTTTTTCCAAAGGTCAGAGCAGTGTCCTGGGGTCTGTTCTCACCTGCTGTCACCTGCCTGCAAAACCTTCACTTTGTGCTTTTACACACCCACACACCAATTTCTGTCTTTGCTCCTCATCAGCACCACACTGAGGGGGAGAGGGCTGGAGGAATTTACTCCTTTTTGTGAAAAAGAGTGAAACAGTCACTTCTCCCCCAAGAACACAAAAAATGTCCAGGGATTTCTGCTTCCTTCCAGTGACCCTTTGAACTTCCAATATAGCAGGAGATTGGGGAAAGATAGCAAAAATCCTGGCAACAGGCAGAAGCCAGGACATCCAAAAAGCTCCTGGAGATCATTAACTTTACCTGGCTTCCAGCCACATCTTCCCTGGAGTTCAATCACTTCCTGCTGCTGCAGAGCCCTAACCCTGACTCCAGGAGAGCAGAGTAGAGTGAAATCCTGGAATCCTTGGGAAGCTGCAGGCCAGAGTGCTGGCACATGGAGTTACTGGGGCTGCAGAGGGAGGGGAGTGAGGAGCTGCCTTGGGCAGAGCAGGGGCTGCTCTCCAAGCCCAGCTCGTGCTGGGGAGGTTTGGCCCTGGCACCTGCCACCACCCAGGGTGTGTGTTTGCAGTTGGGGCTGGGGTTTATGGGCTCTTCCCCTCCCCTCCTGGCTCTGCAGGGCTGCCCTGCTGTGGCACTTGGAGCAGCTGGCACCACGCTCCTGCTGGGAAGGTTCAAAATCCCATGTGCAAGTCAAAGGGAGCTGGATTTGCAGCAGGCTCTGACTAAGGCATGCTCTGTAAGCAGGTCTGAATCCCTGGGCTGAGGCTGTTCCTGTTCTGAGTGGGTGTTTGCTGGATCAGACCCTGCCTTTGTTCTCCATCCCTTGTCCAAGCAGGCTCCTGCTCCTAAATAGGATCTCCCAGGTGAAGCACAGGCTGTGGAAATGAGGTGCTTTGTTGGAACAGTGATGTGATAAATAAAGCTGGCTAATTTTTAAAATAGCAAAGCTGCTCCCTGTAGGACAAAATGTTCTCTCTCAAACTGACACGTTGCTGGACCCACTTGTGATTGTGGCATGAGAAATTTTTGATTCAAAACAAATGCTTTAGAAAAATGGCCTTTAACTGATCTAGAGAGGAGCCCTTGGAAGACAAGAACAACGCCAGGTCTGTAATATCATCTGATCTGGTGAGGACGAGGGTGAAGTGCTTTCACAGATACACAGGATATTTGAAAAATGGAGCTCATCTTTCCAAATTGTCTTTTTCAGTGTCTGTGTCTTGTTCCTAATGTGATGACAGGCTCCTTCTTGGGAGCTTGAACTGAGCCAGGCTCAATGCAGGAGGCAGATGTGAGTGAAGGTGGTTCATCACAGGGACACAACCTTCTAACTGCTGGTTTCTGTCAATTTTTCAACTCCCCTTCTCCTCTCCCGCTCCCCAATTCCATTGGCAATGTTTAGGTGTCCAAGGATGACCGCAGTGACGTGGAGAGCAGCTCTGAGGAGGAGGATGTGACTTCCAACAGCACAAAAGGAATTTTCAGCACTTCCAGTAACGGTTCCAACCGCCTGAACGGCCACGTGGCCGGCGGCCAGTGGACAGGAGAGGAGTAAGGCCCTGGGCTGGCCTTGAGCAAACACGAACTTCTCTTTCAATATCTAGTTGTGTTGAGCTCCACATTCCCAAGTGATCTTTAATCAAAAACCCCTTCCCCAGAAACCTCCAGCAGACCCGAAACGGGCACAACCCTGACCAGTCAGAGGCTTTGCACGGCACAAGGGATGAAGCCAACGACCGGGGCAAAAACAAAGCTGCAGATTTCACTTCAAGCCATTTTGTACTTCAGAAGTACAAGAAAACACCCCTGAGTCCTGTTGATATTTGCAGAGGTGTCTTTGTTCGTGACAATCTGGCTTTTACTGGGATCAGCTCGAGGCAGAGCAGGTTTGGACTGCAGGGTTCGGTGCCACTCGGCGACGGTTCACTCCTGGCAGGTGCAGCAGCTCCTGGTGCACTCCAGAAGCCACTTCAGAGCACAGAGAACGCAGGTTCCGTGTCCCAGCTGCCCTGGGTGAGGCAGAGACTCTGCTCCCAGCTGAGCTTTGACCTGTGCTAACCCAGAACCACTGCTCTGCCTCGCCCCAGGGTGCTGGGGAGGTCCCAGCTGCTCATCTCTGCTGTCACCAGGGACCAGGCCAGCGTCTGCTGCCTCTTTTGGTGCTGCAAACCCCTCTGAAGTCTTGACCAAAGCCTTCTGCAAGGGGGTGGGGGGGTGGTTTATTGCCCCTGAGACAACCGGCATAATCCAGGCGTTTTAAATTGTTTTCTTCCTGTTGCAAATTGTGGGTTTGAAGACTTCTCTAGACCTACTGGATTCAGTTGGCTAAGCTGGGATTGGAGGGAGGATCAGAACTGGTGGGCTGGGTTTAACTCTCCAGAAAATGAGATGTTTTGGTCCTGTACTTTGAGACAAGTGATTGTTGCTGCTCTGATGTTAGAGCTGTGGAGGAACCCAGGGCTGGAAGAGCAGCCACACTGTGGGCTTTGCTTCTCTTTTTTTACTCAATGGTACTTGGGGGCAATGGAACGGTCAATCAGGAGCAGAATTTTGGAAACTTCTCAAGTTGTTACCATTTTATACTGTTGTTTACTCTTATCTCCAATTAAAAGTTGCTTCAGAAACCTGGGGTGATGTGTTTCATCTTGAGGAAATAAAACAGAGGACAGTGTGTGTCCTTTGGCTGTCTCTGAGCACCTGGGCTGCTGCCAGGACAGGAGAAACAGCTTTTTGGAAGAACAGAAGTCATGGACTCGTGGAAGGCATCCCTGCCCATGGAAGGGGGTTGGAATAGAGTGACTTTTAACCCCAGACCATTTTAAGATTTGGGAGACACCACACACCACCACACCAGCCACTTTGACACGGGTTTTATTGCACTCCATCTGCCTCCTCCAGCCCAGGGGGGACCAGGAAGGTGGGGCTGGTCCAGCACAGTCCCAGCTCCCGGGGCTGGTCCCAGCTCCCAGGACTGGTCCCAGGTCTGGTCCCAGCTCCCGGGGCCGGTCCCAGCTCCCGGGGCTGGTCCCAGGGCCAGTCCCAGCTCCTGGGGCCGGTCCCAGCTCCTGGGGCCAGTCCCAGCTCCCGGGGCCGGTCCCAGCACGGGCTCAGCTCTCAGGCCCCGGCGCGTTCTCCCGCTGGCGGCGGAGCTGGAGCATCCTCTGCACACGGACACTGCACAGGTAGCCGGCGTACACCGTCAGCAGCATCATGGAGCCCGAGAAGGCCTTGTAGCCAAAGTCTGCCAGCTGCTTTTTGGAGACCATGGCTGCACCTGCCAGACAGACACAGAATCCCAGCATAGTCAGGGGTGGAAGGGACCTCTGGAGATCATCCAGTCCAACCCCTGTGTCCAGGCAGGGTCACCCAGAGCAGGTGACACTGGAGGATGTCCAGGTGTCTCCAGAAAGGAAGACTCCCGTGACTCCATGGGCAGCTGTTCCAGTGCTCTGCACCCCTCCATGGAAAGTTCTGCCTCATGTTGAGTGAAACTCCTTGTGGTTTAGTTTATGGCTGTTGCTCCTCATCCTATTTCTGGGCATCACCCTCTGACCCCTTGGAGATATTTATATTTATTACTAAGATCCCATCTCAGTCTTCTCTCCAGACTAACCAGGCCCAGCTCCCACAGTCTCAGAGAGATGCTCCAGATCCCTCAACATCCTGACCATCTCCAGCAGCTCCTTGTCTGTGCTGACGTGAGGAGCCCAGAACTGGACAGGTCACTGTGGCCAAGGGACAGAATCCCCTCCCTGACCTGCTGGCACGCTCTTTCCCGTGCATTCCAGGATCCCACTGGCACTTGGGGCTATTCCTCTGCAGGTGCAGGATCCTACATTCGCTCTTGCTGAGCTTCGTTAGGTTATTCTAATAAATCATTAGGTTTCTCTTTGCCCAGTTCCCCAGCCGATGGAGGCCCTGCTGGACGGCAGCACAGCCTTCGGGTGGATCAGCCAGTGCCCCGCGTTTCGTGTCACCACCAGACCCGCTCAGGGTGCTTCCATCCTTTCATGCAGGTCGGTCACGGACACGGCGAACGAGACCGGACCCAGCAGCGGTCCCTGGTGAACTCACTGCTCACCGGCCCGCAAGAAGGCGGCGGGGAGCGGGGCCGGCAGCGCGGATTCGCGCGTCCCGTCCATCGTCCCATCCCATGCCGTCCCTCCGGACTCCCCGCTCCCGTCCCGTCCCGTCCCGTCCCATCCCGTTCCATCCCATCCCGGTCCAGTCCAGTCCGCTCCGGTCTCTCCGGACTCACCGCTCCCGTCCCGCTCCGCGTCACGTGGCGCTGGGCAGTCACGTGCCTCCCGTCGTCACGTGTGTGCCGCGGTCACGTGTGGCCGCCGGCGAGCGCGGGAAGCCCGCGCGGTGCCCGCAGCGCCCCCTGGCGGCTCCCGGCCGCGGTCTCCCCTCAGGGCCGCTGCCGCCGCCATCGCCGCGGCCCACACGGGCCTGCCTGCACGACGGAGCCCGCGGGTCTTCCTCTCTGAGGTGCGGCGCCGGCAGCCCACAAGGGGCAGTCCTTGGTCACGCGTGGATAGGGCCCAGGCTCTCCGGGCCGTGCTGCAACCCTGAGGCTCGGCGGCGCGGTGCCATCCCGACGGTCACGGTGGATTCACGGCTCTGGTGCCGTCCTGAGGGTCCCAGTGCCCCCCCCCCCGAGGGTCCCAGTAGTTTCTTGAGGGTCCCAGTGGCATTCCAAGTGTCCCAGTGCCATTCCCAGGGCCCTGGTGCCTGCCCAGGGTCTCCTGTGCCCCCAGCCCAGTCTCCTTCCCAACAGGCCACGTTCCCCAGGTCCCCTCCTGTCTCCCCTGTGGCAGCTGCTCCCCTCCCGGAGCTCCTTTCCAGCCTTTGAACTCTGCTGTCCCTGCTCTGCTCTGCCCGGGGCTCCCTCGAGCTCCAAAGCTGCCAGGGGCACTCTTTTTTTCCCCTTCCTCATCCTCCTTTCCCCCAGCAGCAGCTCCCAGGGCTGGGGCACTGGGATGTGCTGAGCCTGCAGAACATAATTCCAAATGGCAAAGGGAAAACTTTTTATAGCTCGGGGACATCCAGCTCCAGTGTGGTGTGTTTAAAAGCGAGAGATTGTTGGAGACCTGGGACCCTCAGCAAGGGTCTGCAGCGATTCGGGCACTTCCAGGGTCAAAGAAACATGGACAAGGGGGATGCACAAAGCATTTCCATCCCAGCTAAACACAAATCCCTGCTGGATTCTGCTGCAGCTCCAGGCAGGTGCTGACAGGAGCTTGTGTGAGGGAGCAGAGCCCAGGGACCCTCTCTCCTGCATGAGCTTCGTATCCAAACACTTGGATTCCTTGAAGCCCTTGAAGACAAAGAGAACTAGAAGTCGTGCCAGCCCTGCAGGAACACGCTGGACTTCCTTTATCCTTCCTCCAAGCTCAATAAAGCTCCTCGGCAGAGGAAGCCGTGTTGGCTCCCCCCACACGACAGTTCTGCTGAATTTAAAGGTCGCGGAGTGCCTGCTGAGAAAACGTGGCTAATAAAAGGCACAGAAACAAGTGCAGTGCCAACAGATTAAATTCCCCTTGTAAGACACCGAGCAGAGGGTTCAGAGCCCTGGAAAGGTCACTCAGTACGGGGCTCCTTTAAAGACACACAGGGACAAAGTGAGTCTGGGAAAAGCAGCTGGGAAGAGATGATTAAAATCCCACAGCGTGTCCTGGGAAGCCCCAAACGTCAGAGGAGGGGAGGCCTGGGGTGTGTGGGGCACAGTGTGGTCCTGGCCTGGCTCCTGCTGGCCCCAGGTGAGGACTCTGGACCCGGCTCAATGCTGCAATCCCAACCCACCATAGTCCTACAGCCAAATTTTAATCCTGGAACCGTTGCTGAGACAAAGCAAGTGGGACACTGTGTGACACTGGGGCTGAACAGGGACCTACAGGGACGTTCTTGCTGTTTCTGGGACAGCACGGGAGGGTGCAGGGCCAGGAGGGAATGGGCAGTGCCCTGTTCTGAGCACTCAGCAAGTCCAGCAGGCACCAACCCAGCGACAGTGATGCACTGGAGCCACAGAACGAGGAGAGCATCTCCTGCCTCCTCTCCATGTTTATTGTTATTTTAAAGAACACTGCTAGTCAGAGACCCCTTGGCTCTGGGACTTGAATGGGGGAGAACAGGGAGCCTTGCAGCATTCCAGCCTTCCAGCCCAGGTAGGATCAGTGACCACTGGACACTCTGGCCTGAGCAAACACTACCAGCTTCAGAGGAGCAGAGGGACATGTGGCAGCTGTCTGGACAAGGGGCAAATTTCACAGGCTCAGTGTGAGGCCCAAGACCTCTGTCCTGTCCTGGGATGTTGGACATGTCCATGTACCTGTTGTGGATCATATGCCTATTCCTGCCCCTGTGCCAGAGGGCAGCTTGCAGCATCCCCACATGAGGAAAGTGTGAGACCTCCTTCCTCAGCTCCTGGACAGCCACACATGGAAGCACAGAGAGTCTAAAGCACAAGCTGAAGCGAGCCAGAGGAAGGCAAAGTGTGGCTGTGGAGAAATTACTGAACATCAACGTGACTCAGGTGCCTTGAGCTGACCCACCTGCCTGATGTGAGGATACAAGGTAGGGGTCACACCAGCTGCTCACACAGACTCAGGGGCAGTTGGTCCCTGGCAGTGCCAAGCCCCAGAGGTCAAACTGAGACAAGGGAGATAAGTCAGCGGGCATGGAATTAGCACATTTTGTCACAAACCTGTGACAACAGGGGACCTCCCCAGGGCTGGGGCCAAGTCTGATGGAGAGAGCAAAAGCTCTAAATAAACAAGCTCCAGAGTGTCCCTGGGTCAGCAGGAGCAGCTGGGGGAAAGCAGCACATGGCCGGGTGGCAAGGAATGCCATTGTCTGTGCTGTGCTGGTGCTGCTTACAAAGATCCTCGTTGCCTTTGGAAGTCCTGAGAACTCCACTCACCAGGTGAGCCTGGCAGGGGACTGTGCCCTCTCCACCAGACAGGGAATGCAAAAGCAGCAGCAGGTAGGGAAGAGCTGGTGTCACCCAGAGTGGCCCATGGGGCTAAGAGGGAGGACTTGGGACACTTGTTTTCCCTGCCAGGCAGTGCCCAGCCCTTATCTATCATGATGGCCTGGCAGAGTCCTTCCCAGAGCTGAATCCACTGTGAGGAAGTGGAAGGAGGAAGATGCTCAGCCCTGCTCAGGACAAACCTTAGCAGCAGCAATTAAACGAGCTCTTCAAAGAGAGGAAGAGGTCAGCAGGTACCTCTGTGCCCGGCTCAGTGTCCAGGGCAGTGTCTGGGGCTGGGGAAGGGAACCTCTGCTCTTCCAGCAGTCAGCAAAGGCTCCCAGGAGACCCGGACTCCTCCTGAGGCTGTGGCTGCAGATCAGGTCAGTGTGGGCAGGAGGTCTCAGCACATCTCAGCGGGACCTGTGCTCTGCAGGCAGAGCCCCTTACATGTGCTCAGGGTGGTTCTGGAGACATGAAATGAAGTCAGTGACAGGTTTGCCCTCGTAGCAGATCCGAAACACAGCAGTGAAGAGGGGGAACCTGTGGGCAGACAGAGAAAGTCACCACAGATGGCAGAGTCAGAGCACCTCGACTTCTGTCACGGCATGCAGGAGCAGGTGGGCCAATGGCACTGTGCCCCATCCAACAGGCCACTCCTGCCCAGCTGCTGGGGGCTTTCCCCTCCTGCTGCTCCTGAAAAGCCCCATGCCAACGAAGCACAGAGATTCCAGCACTCACTTCTCCACTGCATTCTTGCTCTTGAGGATTCGATGCAGCTCAGCAGATGTCTGGGGACCCTGCAGCTTCTGCCCATTCAGCATCTCCTTCTCCAGCTGCTCAATGGACTGAAAAAACACAGCAGTAAGGAGCTGGACCTGCAGCTCTGCTGCTGCACCACGTTCCTGCCCTGGAGCTGGGCTGCAGCACTAGCCAAGCACAGACAGATCCCACAGTGCTAAGGGGGATCACCTCCCTGCCTGCTCACCAGGTTGATGCAGGAATCATAGAATCACGGAATATCCCGAGTTCGAAGGGACTCACAAGGACCATGCAGTTGAACTCCTGGCCCCCCACAGACACCCCAACAATCCCACCCTGTGCCTGAGAGCGTTGTCCAAACACCCCTTGAGCTCTGGCAGCCTTGGGGAACCTGTTCAGTGCCCGACCACCCTCTGGGTGAAGAACCTTTTCCAGCTATCCCACCCAAACCTCCCCTGACCCAGCTTTATCCACACACGTCTCAGTGTCGGCCGCTTCCAGCTCTGCTCACCTTGCCAGTCTTGGCAAAAGCCTCGGCGACCTTGCGGTTGCGGCCCCCATAGCAGGTGGTGATGAGGTCAGCCACGCCACAGCTCTCCAGGAAGGTGGAGGAGGTGACAGGGCCCTTGCAGAAGAGTTTGGCAAAGCCAATCATCTCCATCAGGCCCAGGCGGATCACGGCAGCCTTTGTGTTGTCACCGTAGCCAAGCCCATCACAGAAACCAGCTCCTACAGCCACCACGTTCTGGAAAACAGTGGCAATGTGGAGGGGTCTCTTCCCAACAGAGCTTGGGGCTTGGCTGCATCTGTGAGCAGCCTGTGTGATCCCAAGCACTGGCTGCTGTCTGTGCCAGTGCCCACCAGCCCTCCTCCCCTGAGCTCCCTGCAGAGCCCCGGGCTCTGCTCACCTTGAGAGCCCCACAGATCTCTACAGTGTCAGCTTCCTGCACCACCGACACACGGAAGTTGGGGGTCTGCATCAGGTCCTTCAGCATCTGCCCGTGCTTCATGTTCTTGCAGCCTGAGGAGACAAAGGGACGAGGAAGAAGATGATGGGGAAACCCATGAGGTAGGTCCATGCTCTCCTGAAGGTCATCCAGTGAGAGGAACCTATTGCCCAACCAATGTTGCAAAACAGTTGCAGGTCCACACAGAGTCAGGCACACACTGCCTGACAGATAAGCAATGTTCAACTTTGACATTCCCAGAAGACAGGGGACAATCCATGCTCTGTGTCACGCAAGACAAAAATGACTTTCTGAATGCTCAATAGGTTAAAGGCATCTTCAAAGGTTGCAAATTTGGGGTTGCAGCTTTCTGTTGTGGTTGTCCCTGCAGGGCCCTGTGTGCTCACAGGGGTTGTGGGCTCTGCTTCACCTCCCCAGCCTCCTGCCCAGTGTGTTTGCCGTTGTTTCATAAAACAGACACTTTGAATGCCACAACTTCTGACCCAGCAAATGGTTC